AACAGTGACATCTTATAAATACTGTATCTTACTTTCGGAGAAAGTCAGGTCCTGCTCTCCTCCCTAAAACAATTCAAGTTTCTCTGTTAATACTAAACGTAATTAAACAAGAAAATAACAAGATGTCAATTTAATTTGAAGGGGAAATGTTCCTTTTCTGTGGGTTTTTGATGATCTAGATAGGGTAGAGTCCAATGAAAATTTTGCATTGTTCCGTTCTTTTCAGTTTTCAGCTTGTGTCTACCAGTAATTCATGATTCTTAGTATGATTACCATGATTAACACTCCTGCAATTTCATTCTGATTTTTTAATGAGTAAAGACATTTCTGCACACTATCTCGGCTGTTATAAAAATATCTTCAAATAACAATAAATCTTTAAAGAAGAAATGAGTCATTACTCAATATTTAAAAATTTCATACTTTACACATCACTGGGAAATGATGGCAAACTTAAATCCTGTGACAAGCACGGATGATAAATAGGTTTTAAAGTAATATTTTGCAGGATCTAAATCTGCAACAAGTAGCTTTCTAGCTAATACCTTTTGACAGCCACAAGGGTTTTATGATTATGAAGATCAACATTTTCTTCTTAACAAAATAACGTCTACTTTATATCTCCTACATATAATACTCCATAATTATTCTACCATTTCATTTTTTCAGTAACCATCATGGCATATCCAGATGACTTTTTTACACTGAAAAGTCAAATCAGTGTTATTGATATTATGATCTTCATGTGCAGGCTTCATCAATGACTCCCAGAGGAATTTGACCTCCGGCCTTAATCATTTCAAGACATGCTATCTTAGCAACAGTAAAAATTTTATAAGAAAAAAATTGAAATCATAAAATTGTTGAAGTCATGCCAATCACTTACATTTAAGAGAATAATATTACCAGTGCGCATACATCTTAAGACTGAAAATTTCTTGATTAATTTCAGACATTCATATCACTGCAGTTTGAAACAACTGATGAAATTATCTTCATTTTATATGCCAGTAGTTTTAAAACAAAATCATAAGACTTAAATATTTCAGGGGCAGACTGAGTCAGCAGTATGATTTGGCAATTTCTTTCTTATGGGCACGAAAATAAAATAATCATGGTTCAGTTTATTGTTGATGAAAATATAGATTTCATAAAAATGAATATGCATGGAATCAGCGCTATAGAAACCTTAATTATTAGGTTTATGGTGTAAAATAACAATAAGTCATAAGAATGCAACTGGACTTTAAAGTTTTTAACTCAATATCATCCACAGTCTTTGACATTGCAAACACGACTTATTGATCAATTTAAATCAACACTGATGTTGTTATCTTACCGTGAAAAGATGGGCTTCTGATACCCAATATTTAAGACAAAATGAAAATTTTAAAATCGGCACGTAGAATGCTTTCGAGTGCAATTTGTAATGAAGTGACTCAATAAATGAGACTAACCATACCCCACAGGAGAATACTATCGGTGTAGACTGGAATAACCAGATGCCAAAGACTACCATTCAATTTGGAATCTTCGCGTATTTTGCCGAACTGATTAGAAATTACAGTAAAAACAGAAACGATTGAATGTAAATCAGTTTATATACATTCATATTACATTATTATATGCACTGTGACCCATTTGTGTCCATTGCCAAAGAATAGAGATTTAGCTCCTTTAAAGCTTATAGTCCCAGCTTTTTGGAGTATACTTTGACATAATTTATTTAAAATATACATATTATGCACCAAAATTTAAGGAACTGTTTTATTTACCTAAGTTTCACAGCTTACAATACTGAACTATTTAGGAATGGAAATGTACTTTTTTAACTAAGTTATGTTTTTAAAAAAAAAACAGATCAGGGAACGTCTTCTATACAGATAAGTATGGTAAATGTATAGATTTATTTTCACACAGACATACACAACATAATAAATAAAATTATAAATTATATGCTTTATATAAAAAACATTTTTAACTAATTTAGGGGCACCTTTAATATTGGGGCCTTTAGTTGCAGCAAACTCAGCACCCCCATTAATTCAGGCCTAAAGGTATCTGGAAATGGCAGCTTCCAAGAAGGTGATCAACCTATACAATCAATTAGTGAATTAGCATTAATTATATATCAAGGTCTACCTATTGTCAATTTTTCTGCTTTAGTATTTTTGATTATTCTGTCAATAATTAAAATATGAATATCTAAGGGATCTATATTTATTTACATTGAGGGAAAATATTGCCAGAAGATACATTTTTTTCCAGTGTAAAATTGAATAAAATCCTAACACAATTTGTATTGGAAGCATGGTTAAAGATTGAGATTTTTATTGAGTAGCCTTTCGAGCATTGATTAGTTTGAAAATTCAACCATGCTGAACACAAGGCACATTATTGATTTATTCCATCCCTTGATGGCATCTTTTGAGGTCAAAGGAACCTTGTCCTCAGGGAACCATGGAATTTATTGATTGGAAAAAAATGCCCAGGAATCTGTTGTCTCTTTGTTATGTGTTATAATGTGACATTGTTTAATCTTACCAAATACATTCAAAATATTTCAATTTTCATTTTCGAAATTCTATTAAAAGCTCTTGTAAAACAAGGTAAACGTCACCATTGTGATATTAAAATGTCTCTTTCATCAAGCCTTTAAGTAAATAATCCCAAGAAGATGACGAAAAAACCTCTATAGGGATTAATTTTATTAATCCTCAACGTTATGCGCATGCGCAATAATTCTATTGTCTATATATACCCGGTAACGGGATCATTTTTGTAACCAGTTGATAAAGGGCGAACGCCCGAAACGCGTCCTGGATAAAATCTTTTTATATCCACACAGTCTTGTCAAGTTTGTTACCGGGGATTTTTCTACTAAGCCTTTAAGTATTTAAGGCTTAATGGCTGCTTATATACTTAACCATTAGACTAAATTACATTGCAAGTCTTAAGACAATTCTACTTTAAGACATCTTCCAAAAATATTTTCATACAACCTTTGAGAGTTAATTCCACAATACATTTTCAAATTACTTATGTTCTAATAATCAAATATTACACTAGTATTAGCTTAATGTACTAGGAACTAAGATGAATTGAATAAAATTCATATTTAAAACATTAAATCCAGTTACTTTTGGTTGGGCAGATGTGGGTGAAGCCAAGAAAAACCGTGTTTAATCAGCTAAAGTGACAGCAGGACATGGAGGATTTCTTAACCAATAGATCATGTATGTCCCCTTATTAAGGGGCGGAGAAGACATGGGGAGATGACTGATATGGTTGACTAAATTAACTATCCGATGACAGACATTTCTAAGACAATAGAAAATGAACTGAAGCATTAAGTGTGCTTCTTTTTTTTTGTTCAAATACACTGACTTCTCTGTGACAAACAGGGTAATTCCAATTTGAATAATTCTGTGTGTAATTTAAATGGGAAGGTGGGGACCAATAGAATTATAACCCAGCCCAACTGTATTATTTTTTTTATATTCCTTCAATTTTTATATTCCTTCAGTCTGGCTTACCACATCTTGACATACATGTGTTCACTTATAGTACAAAAGTTGAATTGGATCTTTATTGGGATTTTGATGAGACAATATATCACTAGAAATAGTATATTAGGTATAGTTCGGTCTTTATTCAATGGTGTACCCTATGTTGATGAACTGTATAGTTCTTATCAATAATATAATATGCAGAAGAGGTGCTAATTGTATACCTTATAATATAAACAAATAATATCAACATCATAAAACCATTTAACGTAATGCAAAAATAAGCTCTACATCATTTACTTATATTGTAGATGTCCTATACACATAAATACAAACTAGTGCAAATAAATATAAACAAACAGTGAGGGAACATCATGTATAACAATATTTCATACAAAACCTCAAATAAGCAAAACACTGTTTATTTATTTGGAAAAGGTTTTCTCATTCCTATAAACCATGGTAGACAAGGTGTAGGTACCATTTTGTAAATTTGCATGATAGAAGTAATGAATTCAAGAATGTGTACACCTACCAATAGGACATTGCTGAATGAGGATAATGGGAAAAAAGACGTTATTTATAACCTCTTAACACCATATGTTCTAACTATTTTAGTCTAAAGTAATTTAGCAAGCCATTTCTCTGGCAGTTACTCACCTAATATAACAAAAACTATTCCCTCTCGACTGGTAGTTTTCACTACCTAAAGTAACAACTGTTTTCAAGTCAACATTTTTTATTATGTGTTGCACTCTTAAAATACATGAGCAGGGGAAGTTCAACCATTTTTTTTCCATAAAAAAAAGCTTTCAGAAAAAAACCTGTTTGAAACCATTTCTGGATCACATTTAATCACCAACCAAGAAGAGTATGACAAAGTTATCCTCAGTTATTTGGAATTCTGAGTTATTTGGAATTAATTATATGAAAGAAAGCTATTGAATTTGATAGTAGTGGGAAAATGTGCCCCTAATGACTTTTCTTTGTTTCTTGAAGATAATCATTATGTTCTGAATGTTTTTGCTAGACAGAATTGATTAGTTATTCCCTTGTCTATATGTTCTTCACAAAACCATGCCTTGTCATAGTGTTCCAAGTTTATTTTTACTTTATTAAGATCAATTAGTTTACACATGAAAATGCAGTGTAACCACGTGTTGGCTTGACGTAATAGAACCCATGGTCAGGCATCGTATTCCAATATATCTCTTTAAATTTGTGCAATTGGGGCATCTTTTATCTTTGAAGGTATATAAAGCTATACAAAAAGTAATAATTTTTATAATGATACGCTTCCGTGCCCAGATGTTTTCAGTTAGTAAGTGATGGTATTACGGGCCTTAATTCAGAATACCAGCTGTCCAATGGTAGCTCATACTTCTAACCATCTGGCATGGCGCGTGTGGTTGACTAGGCTGGTCCACTTTTTGATTAACACTTTTTTCGTCTTTCAATAAAACAGATTTGTAAATTGTTGTTCATACTTACTCTTAATTACCTGATTAAGCAAGGGCTAATTAGTGATCTAATTTGTCATTTGCGTTAATCTTACGCGTTCGGATTTAGTTTGAAGTTGATTAACTTAGCACTTTTCATCAATCAACGACGGTACCGCTTTGACAGACGAGACGGTCCATTGTTTATACTAGGGGTGACAGGTTCTTTGTTCTGTGACTCTCGCATGCAAACAAAAGGGTTTAGGTGAACTGTTAATGGAACTGCCTATAAACTATTGATGAAGCAGCTAACACAAATGGAACAGACCAATTATATGTCATCGGGAGTTTATGAATAGGCATGCCTCTATAAATATACCCTACTACTCGTATTGGTTTATTCTGTAGAGCAGTTGGTGTACAGTACAGTTGTGTGTGTATAGCTGTTGTGATTTTGGTGTTTTTTTTCGCTACTTGTTGTTGTGAACTATCTACATTTTTGTGATAACATTTCAAGATGGTTGGTGGAGGTAAGTTTTAAAATTCCTAAGACAAGAAAATTTTGTTTCATGGAAAAAAATCACGTCACGAATCACGTCAAATGAGCGGACCATTCCTTTGTCTGTGGAAATGGATGAAAGTCGTTCCAAGATATACACAGTAGCCGGTTTATTTATCTTAATTATTTGAAGCAAGAGATAAGACTCAACCGAAATCTTTGTTATGTGTGATTTATGGATGATATTTATGAAAATGTTTTTTGAACGAGGATTGGTAAACACAGAAGAGGAAAATGGAGATTCTGTAATCTGACAGCTAATTAACTCGGTTCTCTTGGCACCGACATTTTCATTCGGTAGCTGGTTGTAGTTTTCATTTTGAAAATGGCTTCCAAGAATGGACCTAAAACGTCACACATGTATTAAATGCTACGATTTTCTTTCGTATTTGAATTGAGAGTTTATCTTACACTTATACGTTAATACTGTGGCGAAAAACATCTTTGAAATTTAGTTATGGTCGTATCTGTCGAATTCTTTAAGAAATAAGTGTATTGTTACATAATTTATTTTCTTTGAACAACGAAGTTACAGAAATTCGTTATATTTATGTTCAGTGTGAATACTTCTTGATATTTTATTTAAATTTATGGCAAACAGAATCTGATACATGAAATGCAAATTAAACATCATCCATATTGCACAATTGTAGATAATATACATACAGCACTCCAATAGAATCCACAAATAAATTAACATTGATAGTAGACAATTGTTAATCTATAACATGAAATTCAATCAATTCATTTTCATGGATGACCTGATAAAATATATTTTATACATGTACCTGATTTGATTCGGTTTATATACAGACAATAATTTACATGTTAGTTTAAAAGGCGATATTGCAGAGTAAATTTCAGATACAATCAAGATCACACTGGGTCGGTCATGAAAAGTATTCTTTCTAAATACATGTATATTAACCCAAAATTATTAAAATTTTATGCCACTATCTTTTTTTTTGTCCACATTTATGAAGATAGGCATGTTTTTGTGCTTAATTAGATTTGAATAAGTCTTTAAATACTAAATATTTTTTTATGTTAGAACATTTATAGGCCATTTCGCATGTTGTACTTTAAGAAAAGTTAGGAAACCTTCTCTTTATCAGGACAGATGTTCTTTGTGTACACCCCTTAAAAGCTCAATACCACTCTTGTTGTAACTGAATAATATGCCCCAATCTTTATTCTGGTCTACAAATTGTACTATTTTAGAATATTTCAATTAATTGATGATACAAATTTCATCTTAACACGCCTTATTTAAAAATTTTGAAAAATTCAACATAATGGTTTGAAACGTCTAACGTAAATCTTTTCAAATGAAACTTCGATTTAAAAATATTTTTTGAACCCTCTGGACAAGTAAAATAGGATGTAATGGATAATTTACACAACAGGTGGGACACTTAAACATCTAGTACTTAGATAGAGATATTGTTTATTTTCCGGAGCTAGTACTTAGATAGAGATATTATTTATTTTCCAGAGCTTTCAAGCCAGCAAGAGTGTTATTGTCCCTTTAATACAAATACCAACATTATTTCTTAGTTTCTGGTCATAACGGATTGAAATAATAATAATAGTAGTGCATATAATTCCAGTTTTTCTAGATACATGTAGGTGAACATTTTTCTAGATACATGTAGGTGAACATTTTTCTGTACATGTAGTTCTTTAGAAAGAATGTAATATATTTACAAGTTTGTGTACTGTATAAAAGCATCACATAAATCTGTTTATCATCTGTACATGTAGGTGTATCTGAAAGAAAAAATTTGGATATTCTAATCAAATAACATTTTTTTATAAAAAAAGCCAAAGTAAAAAGCATGTTGATGGTATTTGTAGAAAAAGAGAGGCATTCTAGAATTTCTGGTGAAGATAAGAATGTCTAGATATTACTTGTCTAATATAACCAACCATCATATAATACTTTCCGTATTGCAGAGCATGATAGTCTGTTATAACTATCTAAATAATAGCATAACAATTTTTTTATCTTCATTCGAAAATTTCGTTCTGACTTTTTAATCTGTGAATACCTCAAAACTGTATCATATAATCTAAAGTTAATTCCAGTTTGAGTTTCTTAAAGCTTATTCTACTTTTCAGAAAGTGTTATTCATTTACCAGTACTCTTCTCAGATATTTAAGTGTTTTAACATAAACATACATGTACCTGAATAAAGAACTGATATTAAACAGTATAATATTATGTTGTACATATGGACAATAGCTAAGGAATATAAGAAATTATGAAACTGGTAAGCTTCTGTGTTTGAAGTTTTGGCATCATTGTATATTCACTGGAATAATTCTTTGGACAATGGGTGAGATATATAAATTGATCATTTGAAAATAATATCTATAATAGAAATATCAATAGTTTCATGGTATAATAGTAAGATGGTAGACATTAGCTATTTATAATATATGACTTTGATTATTGAATTTCCATGGCACCAACTCAACTGTACTCAGAAGACCTGTAATTAGACTTATTAGAAATCTATAGGCCTACACACATACATGTATATATGTAATGTGAATTTCTAAACGATACAAGTATTCTATGGTACGTAAATAGAAAATATTAATTATGCAGAAGAGAGTTAAAGCTAAATATTGAATAGGAAACTATTTATAGTTGTCTTGTAATACTATGGAGACATGTTTGAGTCATAGGTTATTACAGTATTTGATTAAAATTGAATATGGATTTTTCATGCGTTTATGTTAGGTGTACTAATATGGCATGACATGAGTATTATGTGAAAGAGAATATCTACCTACTGGTGCATGGTAGATCAGACATTGGTGACAATAATAGATTATATTGATTTTAGATCTTGGACAACAATATTGATGCTCTGTAAAGCCTACATGCATAATAGTCTGGTTGTGATGTTCCCATGTCTCACATTACTGTGTTATCTTTAAAAAACCATGAAATAATGTTGTGAGAAATGTTGTCGATTCTACTTTACATGTAGACTTATTAGTTCAAGTTGGTTGTTAGTTAAAGAATCATGTTGTCTGATTGTGCCTGATATTTGAAATGGCATGGTTTTGACTTTTTTGAAAAATGATCCCGTTATTTAGAATCTGGTCATGACAGTGCTGTATAAATTACTTGGCCCTTTAAACTGTAGATTTTGGTGTCAAGTAGCAAATAATTACAAATAACAGGATCAGGTGGTATAATGCCTGTAGATCTCAAATTATGTTCTATGTACATCCATTCATGGCTGCTTTATAGGCTTAACTTGTCGTAAACATGCCAATCTTTATTTGTTTGTTGGTCAGATTTGTGTGTGAGATTTACATATTGTAATGCTCTTGATGATTGTATTTAAGAGCAGCAACTTTTGTAACAGATCACCCAGAATGTGTGGAGTGTTTGCTCTGGCTTGGGTATAATTGGAACAGAACTGATGTTACAACTTTCATTTTTTGTAAAGTTTTTGCAAACATAACAAAGTCACATTATTGGATATATGTCAACGCGTAGTGTAAAACACAAGACTTGAGTTAAGAAAACAGTCAAGGAATATTTTGTATGAAATTGATCATTGTGTCAACATGATATTGTGGTCGGTAAGGCAATAAAACATGACCATTTTTCCCCAATTACATCAACTATCGATTTCACGGACAACTTGGTGTTTAATTGTTTTCGTTCGTAAACAGCCTCCATCAAAATATTGGATTTGAACAAGAAAACAAACAAGAAGCGCTATACTGGAAGTTGTGGAATACAAATGTTGTTCCTTCTCAAGAACGTAAGCTTGGCGTGTTAGCTAGAACAATCAATATCAGGATTCTAATGCATTTAGTGTTTGTTCGTTCCAATGCTTGAAAATGTACAAAGAGTAATGACGTTCACCTGAATGGGAAAACTAAATAGCCTATAGTCATTGGGGTGCATATAGAAACAAAGGAGTAGATGATAAAAAATGCCTCGGGTCACTTGTCGTGTGGTTACAGTAGCAAGGTGTGTGTAATTAAACACATCATTGTGTTAACAGTTCTCCAGACTTTACACCCATACTATATATCCAACCTTTTTTTTGGCAATGATCACCCCCAAGGTTACTAATGTTGTTTGAGGGAGTTTATTGAAGCTCAAAAGATTAAAGACGAGTCTTGACAAAAAACAACTTGCTATCTCCAAGAGGCTAGACAATGTTAGCTTTACTTGTTTGAGAAATATTTTTGCGGGTGACTGTTATCACAACCAAAAATGCTATGTGTTTGTTTCCATGAAGACATATGAAAATAAATGAGTTGGAAGATAAAAACTATTGTAATTTTAGGACGATTTTATGTTATTGTTACAGAATGGTAAGACAACTTTAATGAAGTAATACAAAGTAATAAAGTACTGATGTTGCCATTTTGGGGTTTAAGATCGTTGCCCTATAAAGAAACATATTGTGTTTTTTTATAGACAGATTGATAACAAAGAACAGGGTTTCAACCAAGTTTATTCAAGTACTTTAACCTCCAATTGTCTGTTGGGAGGCAGAGCAGGTGTGCATGGCTATTTCATCAATATGTCTCATTTATATTTTATACTTTAAATAATGACAAGAACCAGTTTGACTCCATTGATATATCTTCACACACTTATTGTGAACATTGATTTTGGGGAAAATAAACTGTTTGTGTATGTACATATATATATTCAATAACCATGTTATGTATAATACATATAAATATACAAAAAAGAGACATTGGTTACATAATAAAATGAAAACAAAGGATGTAATAAAAGGATTCTAGTTAAATTTTTATCCTCAAACGTGAACAAAGGCAGAAGTATAATAGATTTTAGAATATATGAAATTAAATGACAATATATAGACAAGATGTTGTCATTATCAAAAAAAATGGTATGCAACACCTGGTTAGATGTTATATTCCAATCTCTTTGTCATGACTATCATCTTCCATCAGACAGAAAACTCCTAAATTTCTATTATTCATCCACATTGTATTTCTATACATTTATTATTTATTATTATACATGTATTTGAAAATATATCTATGGGTACATGTACTTCATTAACATATTAGTTAGATACGGTTACCAATAGGAAAAGATAAATGTGGTTGACCACATGTAGTCTGGGTTTTGTATAACATGGGTGTGCTAGGTTTAACACATATTTTTGGACAAAACTCTTTCAATATTTGTATTATATTAACTGTTGCAGTGTCATTATCTTTGAATATCTAAATATTGAAAAATATATATGAATTTTTGATATTTTCACTATTGTTTGAAATATAATGGACTATTAGATTTTGGAAAAAAATATCTTAGCAGTTTTACCATCTTTCTAAATGGATGTATTATGCCTGGCAATCAAACAGGAGATCCATAGTTTGTATACCGGAGGTGATCATGGCACACAATAACACAGATTTGATCATATATGTGTATATTAAAGCACTACATGCATGAAAAAAAAGTTAAATATATGCTTTAAAACATACTTTTATTTAAAAACATATCAGTCCACGAATGAATCAAATTAGTTGATTCTACCGGTAACTTCAGTTATATTCATTTGAAGTTTACATTGGTTTCTATTGATTTCAAAATGCAATTCTAATAATTAGATAATCAGTCTTTACATTGAAATGAAATAGTACATTATTTTGAGATGCCTTGTCATTTCACTGCTGTCATTAATTGATATATGTCCACATTTACATGTATCTATTTCATCTATAAAATAGCTTGTACATGATAAGGAGTAGGGTTGCTGCCCACTGCTAAATTATTGAAATAAAATTGAACCATATGTTAGTCCTGAAATGACCTAGTTTCTGTCAAGTGGATGTTATAGCCCATTTCTCTTCCTCTGATTTATAAAATGATTAAAAGAGGGAATGTTAAACATGAATGAATATTAAAAGAAAGTAATTTCTATTCTTCATATAAAAATAAGTATTTTTCAGTATTTAAGTTTCTAAGTGTTTTATTATAGATCTGTAGATCCGTAATCTTGTTCTTGTTCTTCCAGTATATGTTTTGTTCTTCCAGTATATGTTTTGTTCTTCCAGTATCTGATTGTTTTGGGGGGGGGGGGGGTTGGATGGCTGAATGGTTAGCGTGCGCACGCTATATCATAAAGTCTGTCATTGAGTCGACTGGCGTGATTTCGAATCCCCGGTTGTACGTGGCAAGGGGTAGGGTCGCCTGTCCAACCTCGTAGGTTTTCTCCGGGTCCTCTGGTTTCCTCCCACTGCTAAAGACCCCTACGCGCAAGCGAATTATGTAAATAAAATTAAACCATATGTTAGTCCTGAAATGACCTAGGTTGTGTCGAGTGGACGTTCCAAGTCGGTTTCTCTTCCCTGACAAGATGAAATAAGACCATTTCCAGTATTTCTAGCACTCATTAATCAGTGTGATGTATTTTTGTGGCTTTTAATTTCGGCTTTGCTTGCTCATTTGACTAATGACATCAGCTGTCCGAGCTTGTTCAATGGCTCTTTGTAACAGATCAATTTGCTTTTATGTTGGAGTTGATAAGACTGAAAAAGTAATTAGTGAGTTCGATAAGTAGTAGCATTGTTAGCCGAGATGGAAATGATACTTCTAAGAAAGCAGAAGTTAATTGAGTACGATGTTTTTTTGGTAAATTAATTTGCAGAAATATGTTATTACTTTCTTAAGATGCACTCTTTTACAAAATGTTTTCTATTGTTTATTCTAGGATATCTTCATATTTCTTTTAAATGTAGTACTGCAAATATACATGCAGCAAATACTCTTGGCTGCTGTTATGTATCTTTATCATTCAGAATTTTTACAGGAATGTTTCATAATCTATTTAGGCTAGACTTAAACATTTAAATGTTATAATGACCTTGTTGTTTGGAGAGAAAATAATTTTATAAATTACCTTCAAGATTGTTTATGTAGTTTTAGAAGGAATTATTTAGTACAAGTGTATTAGTGATATTTATTATACATTTTGCACCTGCTATTTTTGATTTTACCAAGAGACAGTAAGCAACAACTGACATCCTAACAGTAATTTGATAATTTAGGAGATAAGGTTCCCCCCAGTCTGCTTAACTTGCTTGATTCATTTACCTTGATCAAAGCCTCAGATCCTACAGTAATATAAATCTGGACTAGAAGTCTGATGGTTTCCAGTCTCTGTTTTTATTTCCTTAATTTTATCCTCATCATGTAAAGCCAGTGTCTCAATAATACCAATTTAAAAAACATTGCCTCCCCCCTCTATATATACATTTACCGTATAACAGTCTGGGCATCTGGTAAATATAAGATCTATATAATATATGATTCTGTATACAAATATGGTTGAAGATATATGTCTGTCTATACATGTACTTCTGTTTTATGAATTACAATAAAAGAGATTCGAAAATCATTTCAATAATATACATTTTTGTGTAAAGTGCCGGTATTTCTTTTTTGTCATATGTGTTTTTAATATATTTCAACATTCAATATATTTTATGAAGTTATATGAACATAGTAGATCTACTGATGCCAATTGTATGGCTACTGTACAGTAAGGTTATATTGGCTTGACTGTAGTCATGAAGCGCTGTCACAGACATTTTCTGTACATGAATAAAATGTGGCATTATATGTTTTATAGATTTTTCCCTTTGACAGTAGAAAAGTACATTTCCTTCCTTTACATACAGTATTGTCTGACATCAGTTGAAATGTGTAATTTTCGACAGCATTATATATACAAATATTTTATTTATACACTTAGCTAAATAATACTTTTGGATAATAATTTATTATCATCTAGATAATGATATTAACATTTTAATTCATGTGATAATATCTGTCCGTAAATCCAATATACATGAATTAAAACTAATTTAGAAAGTAGCTAATATTGTTTTCTATTTTTAAGGATGGGAAGAAGTTTAAACCATATAAAATATATATAATGATATTATAATGATGAGGTTTTCTGTTACTTGATATCAAGAATGTCTGTTGTTATATACAGACACTTTCTTTCCCTGGGAATGTCAGAATATTGCTCTGACAGAAATTGATTTGATGCTTCAAATCGGATTCCTCAGTTAGTCGTCATGGCATTATTAGTATGGATTAAAGGGTCCGGAATCTAGAGTAGTAGTATTATGTCTGTTAAATTATGTATGGAAATAGATTGGTGACTCATCCAACCTGTAAAAGAAATTCACTAGGGCATTTTTATCTCTGAAGGACAATTAGTAAAATATAAATCAAGATATTGAACAAGAAAATAAACATGGCGTCTAAACTACAGAGATGACATTTATGAAGTCTGAGAGAAGATGAAATGATGTTTTTTTCTGTTACCATGTATATGTTACGTTATCATAGAATACAATAGTTTTATCTGTAGCATAATGTTTGTTTTTAGCATATATTGTTCTCTAGGAGATCGTTTTCCTTTTCCATTTATTGATACCATGTTGATTCTGATAGTAATTATCAAACTGTTTGCAAAGGAAATATAAGATTAATAATTCCTGGTCTGAGGAAGCATTATTAGAACATTTTCTGGTTTAAATTAAAGCTAAAAAAACAAGAGATTAACTTTGTCTATAATTTGTTTCCCAGTTAAGGTTGCAGTAATATTGACATTGATAAAATGTTTAATTTGCTCATTTTTTTTTTTTTTAGAAAAATAATCGTATTCAGTCATAATTCTTTCTTGGCAATCTTATGAATTAGATGTTGCAGAAATTATGTTCTATAGTAGGAGTGTTATTCAGTGCTATGTTGGCATAGAAAAGTATGACCTTAAACCCCATTTCATTCATTCATTCATTCTTTAGTCCTATTCAAGCCATACTTTTTTTGCTATTTTTCAGAGGATAGAAAGTTGTTTATCGGTATGCTTAATAAACAACAGTCAGAAGATGATGTGAGACAATTATTATCTCCCTTTGGAGGTATAGAGGAGTGTACAATATTACGAGATCAAAACGGAAACAGTAAAGGTAAAATAATTACCGTAACATATTATTACTTGGCCTAATCACAAAACATACTGAAATCAATCCAAATATTCTCCAATATTACAAAAATAATCCCAGCAAATCGTATCTTTAAGAAGATGCGTACATGTATTGCACAATTTTGTTACTGTTCTTGCCAAAAACTAGGATAAATGTAATGATAATAAACAAACATTCTGCATTAAGATAAAGACATGTTGTACGACCCACCAGTATATATACTTATATTGTAAAACTGGTGTTCTATCATATATTATGTATAATCCAGAGAATGTAAAAGCATAATATTTGTAAAGCATAATATTAATAATCCATTGCCTTGTAAACAGCAGCATTTAGTGTAGGTTATTTTTACTTCCTGGTAATATTCCATACTTGGCAAATGACAGACATAAGTTGACATATTGTGATCTGATTGAAAAGAAAGGGATGGTATTTGGCAATGTCATTATGGAGGAAATTATTCGAAATTATAATTACATACATAATAAGCAATAGACTTGTCTGGTTTTTATATATATAAACATCAAGTTTCACAACTGACAGAGAATTCCGATGTTTTTAATGGAAATAAAGCTGTAAAAATAATATCTCATTATCTGTATCAGTACATCTTGAATATGTTGGCAACTGTTGTTGAAATTAGTGAAGTAAAGAAACAATTTGATTAGATGTGTTTATATGTGTATTCGCAGCCGTGGAATTCAGTAAAAAGTTTATAGTTTGAATTCATTTCACTTTGCATTGATTAAGTTGGATGTCTGATTACTAATCAATATGTTTCATCATGTGGCTCCTGCTTCCACTTGTTTGTCGGTAGACTGATGAATAAGACTTACTCATCCAATACCCGACTCGAATGGCTCATATTCTACCTAACTACGTAGCTATCTTCATTATTTCTTCTACTTTCCTTGGAGTAAGGTGTGTGAGGGAACATTCTTAAACTCCTTTGTCTTTCTTTTGATTTTTAATTGGTCTGTGTAGATTGGAGTTTCCTTCCATACTGACTGTGGTTTATATCAGAATATATTGGTTTATTAGTATTTAATGATTTATTAATTTACTTGATGTTTATATGAAAGTATTGTCTGTGTCTGAAAGTGAAATGTGACTCGTATTAATAATGGTTGTGCAAGAATCCCAGAACATTTTGAAGCGGCTGTCCACAAAATGGCGGCCCGGACTTAATCAATAATGGTGTGGTATAGCAGTGGAAGCTGTGATTTCGTCTGTATCTCAACTTCTTATCATATTAATATTATAACAATTTGCAATACATGTATATGGTGATTTTTCTCATTTTCAGGTTGTGCATTTGTTAAGTTCTCATCACATTTGGAAGCTCTTTCAGCTGTCAATGCTTTACATGGAAGTCAGACAATGGCAGTGAGTATAAATAATCTATTATTGGTAAAGCCAGAAAGCTTTACAGACATTTTAAGAATTTTTGCACTACAGTTCTCACATTTTTATATGCTAGAAGTGAAATAGAAGGGTATTATATTAGCATAAATCTTTAAATGAATGGTTGATTTCAATTCTAATGGAATTTGGATGTATATAATTGTATTATGGGGGAAATTGCATAATTTTATGGAAAAAGAATCTTGAATAAATTAGTTGCTTATATTATGTTATAAATGGCCATTATCCAACTGTTTAACAAGAAATCTGTGTCTGATTAAGCAGGGAGCGTCATCAAGCCTTGTAGTAAAATTTGCTGATACAGAAAAAGAACGACAGCTACGCAGAATGCATCAAATGGCTGGACCTCTTGGACTTCTTAACCCGTACACACTCCATCAAATTGGTACATATGGACCTTATGCTCAAGTCCCTTCCACAGTAAGTAGCAAATTATATTTTTTTTCTTACATAAGTCTGTGTCTATATATGATATACTACAGATGGGCTGCTTTACAAGGTTTAAGTATTATTAGTATTTGACCGGCTACAAAATTGACATACAATGAATTATTCTTCATGGACCTTATGCTACAATTCATCCATTCATCCTCTTATGAATGTTGTCTTGTTTCACAGATTCCTGACTCCCATATCTGAATTTAGTTTTCATGTGTTGCATGACACACTTAACTGATTTTATACAATAGTGCATTATATGACTCATGATGCAGTATGGATTTGCTTGCTTTCCAACAAATTTAATTAATTCATTTCATCTCTTGTTTTTTATAGCAATTGATGCAGCAACAAGCTGCTTTAATGGCTGCTGCACAAGGAACATATTTAGCTAGCCCGGTGAATGTACTAGCCACCCAGATGCAGCAGATAGGAGGTATTCCTGGTCCAAATGGTATTGCCACTGCCGCCATTACCCCAACAACCGCTACATTAGCCAATGGTAAGTGTGTATTTAATATGCACCTCATTTTAAATGTACTTATACTAAAGCATGTTTATTTTGTAATTTTTCAACAATTAATCAACAATTTATTAAATGTAATAACCAATATCGGTATGTAACAATACATTTCTGGATAAAATTGCAATTTGTAAGTTGTTTTTTTTTTTTTTACTAATTATTTTTCAAATTCTAATTGTTGTTTGTTGTTTATATGATCCTGTAGCTTTGATCATAAAAAGGCTAGTTATTGTAATAAATAATAGAGTATTGATTAAGACTTGATAATGTAGACAAAGTACCCTAATATAATACATAGATCAGCCCAACATTAAAACAGTTTCACTGGCATGTACTATCTTTACATTTGTTTTGAGAAATTATTGCATGCCATTTGGCATTAAAACTATTAAAATATTTTATGACAACACTTGTCTAGACCAATTAAGGGCTTCTGAGGCAAATAACAAACAAAGACATTATATAAAAAGTTTTTAGAGACAGAACTGCTAAATATTTTGATTACTTGCACCACATACACTATGTCATAAACGTCAATAAAATGCTGAGAGAATTCTTGACAACTAATTACCTTGAGAGTATTGCATACATGTAATTGTATGCACCTTATTTGATTTTGATTAGCAATTAATTTTATTAGAATATTATCGTAAAAATTAAAACATAATAATGAGGATTTAAATCACTAGATACATTCCCTGGAAGGATTTGGAATTATTTTCATGGACCTTGAAAATTGATATAAGTGTGAAGTCATAATTTATGTTCAATTTTCATAGAGTATCTACACAACTTAGCAAAAAGTTTAAAGGCTCAATACCACTCTTGTTGTAACTGAATAATATGTCCCAATCTTTATTCTGGTCAACAAATTGCACTACATGTATTTTACAATATTCCAATTAATTGATGATACAAATTTCATCTTAATACACCTAATTTAAAAAATTTAAAAAATACAACCAAATGATTTGAAAAGCCTGTCGTAAAGCTTTTCAAATGTGACTTGGATTTAAAAATATTTTTGACCCCTCTGGACAAGTAAAATAGGATTTAATGGATAATTTACACAACAGGTAGGACACTAACACATCTACATGTAGTACTTAGAATAAGGCTATTTTTTTATTTTTTGGAGCTGTCAAGCCAGCAAGAGTGTTATTGTCCCTTTAACAAAAGTGTGGGGCTTGCTTCGAATAACTGACACTAAATTACATAAAATTAAAAAAACACAACAGTATTTCAACAAAATCATGCACATAAATGGTACATTTTTAGATAATTTGAATATCAGTTCTAATAGATTTCTAGATATCATCTGGTTTAAATAAAGATTTTTTGATACACTTTATATGATATCACACAAAACCCAGACTTATGTCATGTATTCCAATGCATAATTCCATTGGGCGTATTAGTAACATCCCTATCTAACCAGTTTATCAGAGATGATGGTAATCTTTTTTTCAATTGTAGGAACAGTCACTCCAACTATTAACGGTGCTCCCCCAAATGTCCTTTCCCCAACAGCTCTGGCAAGCTTTTCAATGTCACAAGCCAATGGTCATCAGACCCCAGACCTGTATGCTAATGGTGTTGCACACTACCCAGGTATGATCAAAGGTACAGACACATTTGAAATCAGATAGATGTGGTGAAAGTCGTTTCTGTCTGCACATAGATGTGTCTCTCCTGCACTTTTTTTCATACATTTTATCAACATTTTTTCATGTATTAGGAGTAGTTAATACCACAATTTAAAACTTCATTATATTCCAAATCTTTTTGATGTCATTATGTCATTAAAGATTTATAAGAAAATTAATATTTGGAATAATTTAGAATTTCTTTCAAGTCATGGTATTAATTGCTTCCTGGTTATTAGTGTAATAGTTTATTAAAATCTTGATGTTTTTTATATAATATATTACACATGTTTTTTATATCGATGTTTTTAAAGTGATACATATATATTGTTGTCTTTTAAACTAACGATTAAATGTATACATCAGTATAGTTCATATTTTATAATATGTCTTATAAAAAAAACAGACTGTCACTTAAATTTCTTCCAATACGATCGAAAGTAGAAAAAAGTTACTGATTGGTATACAAACTTCTTTGATTGAGTAAATTAGTGAGAAAAGGTATCAAAGATATTCATTTTAATGAAATCAAATATGTATCAATTTTGTTTACTGGTAAAACCTCAGGGTGACACCATTTCAACCTTTAGCTAACAAATTTTTAAAATAAAATAGATATTTATGGTTAAATAAAAGAGGAATTTGAGTGTGATCCTGTTCCTACATTATACTAAGACATGTACTGTATTTTTACTGGATGTATATTAAATAGGTGTGTATGTAATGATTGTGAAGAACGTGTGTGACAGTTTGGTGTTTATTTTATTATGTATATGTATTATGTAGTTAGATATACTGTACCAAACCTCTTTACCAAACATGTTACTATTTCTACATTTATGTTCCAACAACTGAAAATACTCTTCTAGAATTCTATTTGAATCTTAACAAGGTATAAGGTTTCTGAAATACATAAATTAATGTACTTTTGGAATTGTTTGTGTCCAACCAACATACCATGTAGAATAGTAATGTTTTGGAAGGAATTGGATTGTGATGTATTTATTGATTAGTGTGGATATAAAGGATGTTAAATGCAGATGAGCAGCTTCTACATCCGGTGCATGTAATGTTTTACACAAACTTAACCATTGCCAATCTTATTCTCATAATTAATGGTTCAATTCAGTTATATTTGAGACTGAATTGAATGGATTCTTTAATGTAATTTCTAAAGGCAATCGATTAATTAGAATGCGAATATTGACAAGCTCATTTGTAAAGGTCAAATTGAATGAACATTGCTTTTTTAAACTAGATTTTTCTTTTTTAAACTTTTTTAGCAGCTACAGCTCAGGCTATTACTAATGGTGATCCATTACAACAGTATGCTGCTATACAACCATACGCTGGTATTGGTGAGTAGACTCATTCTTTTTTATGGTGATTAATCTCAGGCCAACATCCTTCCTACTACTTGCTTAATGATGCTTCTAGTTTCTGTTAATGTTGGATTTATTACCAATTGATTAAAATCGGTGTAACATCTTAGAGATTTATAATTAATGAAAGTCTTTAAATAAGACTTGCTGCTACATGTAATTGTTTCTGACATTTTAATACCTCCTAATTCTTGATAAGATTTAAGATGGGAAACACCAAATTTAAAGGAATGTTATACATCTGTATTATATATATTTTGATGGTGTTTTCTAGCTGCAGCCTATCCAGCTGTCTATGGACAATATCAACAAGCCATTACACAACAAGCAGTGACACAAGCTGCTCTACTACCAACTGCTCAGAAAGAGGGTAAGGCGCTTTCAATACCAGGATTAAGCAGCAAGGCCATAAAGCTTTTAAAAGAAAATGATTTAATACGCAGATTATTTAAGGGTAATTCCCCTTTGTATACATATTTTATTTTCTTTCTTTAGAAAATAAAAGAAAACAATTGACATTTTACTTAGTCTCGAGATGCTTGTCTGTTCAGTCTGTTACTTCTGCTCATCAACATAGCATGTCTTTTTTTAGTAGGTGATATAAATTTGTTAATATTAAAATATCTTTTTTTCTTCAGGACCAGAGGGATGTAATTTATTTATTTACCATCTTCCCCAGGAATTTGGGGATGCTGAACTTGCTCAGATGTTCATGCCTTTTGGTTCAGTTATTAGCGCCAAAGTTTATGTTGATAGGGCTACAAACCAAAGCAAATGTTTCGGTAAGTACATGTTAAATAAGATATTTTTTGAAGAATATTTTCTTAAATGATATTTTAATTACAAGGGCTTTAATAAATACTTCACCATCGAATGATCAACAGAAATTATGTTAGACATTCTGTTGTAATTTTGCAAAACTTACGATATATCTTTTACATTTTTAGGTTTTGTGAGTTTTGACAATCCAGCCAGCGCCCATTCAGCCATCCAGGCAATGAATGGTTTCCAAATTGGCATGAAGCGACTTAAAGTTCAACTTAAAAGACCAAAGGATTTTAATCGACCTTATTAAAATAGATGGTAAGCATGCCTATAAGTTTCTTGTGTTTATTCCAATGTATTTCTGGAACACAGTAAGATTGCCCTCCAAGCACAATTGCAGCTTGTATGTATTTTATATCTCTTGAGGTTTATCAAACTGTCCGACATGGTAGACGTTATTTTCCTAATATAGGCCTACTGTACATGTACATATAAGATTTGTAGCCATATTATGCATGCCGTTATATTTTTAGCTTTACAACCCTTTCCTACTCTCAGTTGCTCTACTTTTTTTATTTAAAGGCTAACAATATCGAGATACATAAAAAAAAACATTGATACACTCCCCACCCCCTCTCCCCCTTTATGTACAATTCAGTTAAGACAATATTTTATTACCATTCCAATTTTGTCTTCAATCTTGCATATCTTTTTTTTACAAATGGTTCTATAGACCTCTACAAGACCTCTCTAAATCATCACAGAGAGAAACCCGTTGCTAATAGCAACTCAAGATAGGCAGCTAACTTTGCGTAAGTGGGTGAAATATATGTTGTCAGATGGTGGTTTTGGCAAACTCGTAAATTTGAAAGGTTTTTTGATCGTAATTATATTGTCCTGCTTTTTGGTTCTATAACACAATCAGTTACTTACAAAATGTTGTTTGTTATTTTTATGTAGGTGGTATAATTATGGTGTTTATTTATTTATTTTTTTAATTATTTGTCCATATTTGAATAGCTTTATATCGCTAATTATGGGAGAAGTTTTTATTAACCGTTTTGCTTATATCCTATATATATTATATATATATTCACCAACAGTAGCTGTATATAAATCTCACTATTTGTATATGACGACTATATATATATATATATCAATGTTTTATTGTAAATCCATTTTGACCCCTGTAATTTAGATGAATGATTGTGAAAGTCTTTAGCAGGAACCTAACTAAAAGTAAAAAACCAAAATGTTAAAACTTGAAATAACCATGGCAACTGTAATGAAACATCTAATGAAATTACCACCACTTAAGAAGAGTGTTCCACTAATGACTATATAATGAGGAATGTTAGAATGAGAGGAAGACACACATTTATTTTATTAAAATTCTATCATTTAATGCTGTAATTACTTAACACCAAGCAGCAAATACAACTAACTAATTTAAACAGTGCCAACTTTATCTTAATTAACTTCAGTCTGTATAGAAGCAGGAAATACTATTAACATAGAATTCTAAATGTTTTTTTTTACATTTTTCAGAGTCCCGAAAAAGGACAGCCAATGCCAAAAATTGGAGACTTAGATATACATGGTTTTATATTGTTAACTGGGATCGAAGAGAAAACGGTGAAGTTTTGCTGCCATGTACAGAGAGAAATATAACCCACAAATGATAATGAAATGAACCCACCGTTAATGGTCACATTCAACGGATATATAATCACATGTATATAGCTTTGAACATTGAATTTTGAATAAATTATTAATGTATATTTATTTAATTAAATGTAGCGACTGCAGTACAATATTTATTTGTATAGTTCTATTAGAAATATACATGATATGACATAGTATTGTTATTAACTCCAAGAGTTTTATTTCAATAATTTAACTAAGAGTGACAACATGTTTGTACAAAATAGCCAAAAATAGAAAAAGAAGTAAAGAGAAGATTTATTTTACAATTTTTTTTGAACATTCCAGAAATGAAACTTGTATAGCTTTTCTTTAAGCACCCCTTTTTTAGCACACTCCTTTTCATTATTAACTAATGCCTGTGTTAAATATGGGTTAATGTAATATTTTAATTGTTCTATATTTTATAAGCTTTGGTTTATACACCTAACCATAGATCATAAAGAGAATACCATGACAACTATATGTAAAATAACGTGTATATTTTCTATTAAATTAATTTATTCTCTTCACAGAAACTATTAGTACAGTTAAATTGGTCACTACATAATTTGATATTTAGCCAAAATCTTGTGGTTTTCTTTTGTTTTTTTTTCCTCCTAACAGCAGATAATCAAATTTGTTAAAATATTTATTTAAAAAAAATCATAAATCATTCCCGAGCCATTTCATTTTAAACATACATCAATATAGTGTTATCACTTCAGAAATTTCATGGTTTTTTCATGGCTTAAAAAATCATGGCTCTATTATTTTTATGTGTGAGCATATTAAATCTCATCTGTTACTCTATTTAATTTTTGCCCTTCGGATGTGTTTATTTGAAAATCATCTACACTGGAGTTGTGTAGCTAACACACAGAGAATTCATCAGGAATGCAAAAATTAAACAACTTCAAAATGAACCACATCTGTTAAGTTTTATAGAACTAAACTATTTGTACTATATTTGTCAGCCATTTTGGTTGTTGCATTTTTCATATCGCTTCTTATTGTTCCTTAACAAAATATTTCCCTTTTTTGATCAAATTCTGATCATTTGTTGACTTAAAACAAAGATTTATATCAAAATGATGTAATATATTTTGAATGAATTGAATGACTTGTAAATTGTTAATTAGTCAATTATTATTATTATTATTTTTTTGCTTTATCTAAAGATTTAAAACAGTGCTGAGCTGAACAAGGGTGAAACAATGGTAGTTTGATGGTGATGTAATTTGATTAGTAACGATAATTTGAACGAAGTTGTGTTATGTACTTAAATCAAAAACTGTTCGATTAAACCTAGAGTTGGTATCAATCAGCATTGTTTTAAATATTATTATGTTTATACTTTTTAGAAATATTATGTAGGTTGTACAAAGAATTCAGTTTTAGGATGAGAACAGTAACATTGTATCCTTTTCTAAAACTGAATTGTTTAAATGAATATACATATATATGGATTGTAAGATATGATGTTTAATTTATTATTACATTAGATATAGGTATTTATTTTAGAAAAAAAGACATTGATATTTCTTTTTACGTGACATTGTTGGATAAGCCAAACTTCTTTCAAGAATAGAGATGTCTATACGTTTCATTGATGATAACAAGTGAACAGTTGATTGCGTTTTTAATCTTATTAATTGAAACCTGTTTTAGAGGATATTAAAGCTGTTTTTGTTTTAGTAAACCTATTAAGCTTTTAACATAAGCTACCTCTTAGTTAAAGTTTGTTTGATTTTAAAGATCACTGGTTTTTAATTATTGCGTTATATATATTATATATCATATTTGAAATATAGTATCAATGTTAAACCTGTAAATTATTCAAGGTGTTATGTCCCCATATTGTAATCTCAATCTCAGCGTAACCTTCAAACTAATTGACAGTTGAAATCTAAAGTGAAATCCAGCTATGTAAAAGTGCTATAAAGGAAATCCTTCAAAATTAATCGGTGCAAAAGATTTGAAATATGTGGCCACTTTCTTTTATTATATATTGTTGGAAATTGAGTGGATTTGTTTTCTTTCATTGTATTTTAGAGAACAAACCAAATATAAGTTGTTAGACAATGGACTTTGTTTTTATCCACATAAGGACACTATATTGTTTTGAAAGGACCTTTTATGATCTTTTCTAGTCATGTTATTACTTGTGTTTTATTGTTTTAGCTATTTATTGAGGACACATTTGTGCAATATCAACTTGTGTATTTATCATATCATTGGGAGGATTGAAATCTCAATCTAGCTGAACAGGGCAGATGACAGAAAGCTGGCAGACAGCAAACTTCTGATCTCTACTTGTTCTGGCTAGTACTAAATGATCCTTGGTCTCAGAGGTCACAATTTTGAGTACAATTTTTATTTTATGATTGTATAATGTGCTCAACATTGGGAGGATGTTAGTATTAAGAATTTATTATTTATTATTTCATTTTTTGACATTTTGAGTCACTATAAAATATATTATATTTTAGCTCATAGTTTTTAGATTTTAAGTGCACTGTAGTATATTCTAGCACCTAATTCTAGCCTTTTGCACATATAGTAGCTGTAGATTAGATCTTTTTCAAATTATATTATTGCAAGGTGTATACCATAAATGCTCAATATATACTGTCATTTTTGCATAAATGAACAAGTTTCATGTATAATATTAATTTTGTATGGGGGGTTAGTTCATCTTAGAGATCGTTCCTTCAGCACAGTTTATCCAATATTTTATTTATAAGTTAGGACAGCAACAAAACAAAGATATTAATAGGGGACTAAAAAGTCAGACAAAGGAATTTTAGCTTCATGTGTATTTTTGAATCCGAAATGATGTGAATCTAATTTTCCTTTCTCAAGACCGAATGCTAGAATTTTATTACACAAAAGTGCCAGAAGGAACTTGAGCTCATGGATGATAACCTCGACTCAGCGATGTTTGATGCGTGGAAACAAAACAAAGAAATGTGTGAATTTGTATATATTGGTGATTTTATCTATCTTTGAAATGAATAAGAGTTATGTGAGAGAGAAAATTATATGTCCAATTTTTGAAACAGAACAAGATCTATTTTTATAAGAGCCTATTTTTTCAAACAGAGACTCCCTGACTTGGTGTACATTTACTTTCCAAGCTGTCAATGTTCATTATTATACACGTACATTGTAATTATATATCTTCACATTAATGTTGTGGTGATGTTAACTGTTATGTAATTTGTAATCACCCAAATGGTTGTCATTTTGTGAGGTGTTAGTAAACAAATTTTTGACTGGACTTTCTTGCGGAACCATGCAGTGATATATTATTATGAAAAAAATTAACAAAGAATATTTAATAAGAAAGATTTTATTATAAATACTATTTATTGTTCCTCATAAGAAAGGAGATTTTTTTACATCATATATTTATTTTTATACACATAAATATTGTATTGGAATCATACTTTTATGTTATTATTTTATATTTTATTATAAGTAGGGTAATCTGTATGTTCAGTGTTGGTCAAATAGTCCTTTTCTGTGGTATTTTTGAGAAAATAGTACGGTAGCATCAGTGTCGTGAAATTATCTATTATTAAACTAGTTTTTTATCTATCTATATATATTATGTGGTATCGCAAGAAAGTCTACAGGATTATTGAATATTGTGGTCACATGACTGAAATGAGTGGTCTGAGAGCTAGTTTCCACGGCATTGAATATCGTTTGAGATATGAGCATAAGTAAAATATTTTACCTCTATTATTATATAAATATAGATTTAGGAACCAGCATAACATATATATATTTACCCATTTATGCTGGTCATAGGGGAAGCTTGTACAAATTTATAAATGATATCTGCAGATCTTTACAAATTATCGATTATTTACTCTTTCGAAAATAAATGCATTACGCAAAATTATATGATTATTCTTCAGTATTTATTTTTTCAATTACAGACCTACATACATCATGTATGACAGTCTTAATAAAAAAACAAATTTTGCAATAACTTTATAAGAAATTCCAGGATTTTATAATCATTTTAGTACGCCCACATGGAAATGTGGTCGTATATTGCCGTTGCCCCCGTTCGTTGGTCCGTCATCCACAATTTCTTATGAACACTCTACAGACAACATTTATCATCTGATTGTTTGGAAATTGATATATGTTGTTTGCATAAGTGAGCCTATTTAATTTCAATCATTTCCCTTGTTTCATTTTGTAGAACCTTGTAAACCCTCAAACGATGAAAATTATAATATCTGTATGAAATTGTCTTGTAAATGCCCCTATTACCTACAAAAGAATAGATTGTGACAACACTTGTCGACCTCTCTGGCGATTTAGTTGCTGTGAGCTTATGTTTCATGGCCTGGCAACCTATCTTTATAGTAAAGGCATGCATAAAGATGGAATTTTATTGCAGAAGTAATTTGGGTGAGTTGAAGGGATAGCAGAGGGATTTGGAGGATATTTGAATTTCCACCATGCAAGAAAGAAGGGAAAGATTGATAATTTTACAACAAATCTGTCATAGTGAATCACCCCTCCCCCTCATTTATTAAGAACAACAAGATGTCTGGGTGAAGAATTGTGTCCCTAACCTCTCGATCCTGCCTCTGGTCTGTTTTCATCTGGGTTTGACAAGATATGATCTATGGCAATTTAGGATACAAAAGATTAATGACTGTGAACTCTTCATATGCGGGGGTAGCAGGTGTTCCAAGATAATTTACCTAATGGCTGTAATGTAATGGCTGTATATAGAATACAATTTTGAAACTTGGACTAGGCCTACTCTTTATCAAGCATTATCTTGTTTTTCATATAACAATATCGCTAAAACGTTAGTATATATGTTTTAGCTACAGTTTGCCTCTTCTTAGTTTTACCAATTTGAAAGATGTGGCGCTGGAAATTTAACACCAAATAATTAGACCACACTGAATATTTGGTTAGATCTATTTACCAAGGTCACTTGCGGATTTCCTTAAGGTCACGAGATGTAAACTGGGTTAGTGCACGTTATTTGTTGCCGAGGGTTTGGGTAAGGGTTGGGGCTAGGGTTAGCACAGGTGGCCCTGGTAAATAGATCTAAACCTGAATATCTTGAAAAATGTGTGTCGGATAAAATATCGTAACGGAAGGTGCGATTTAGTGAATTACGATAACTCAAGCAAGATTGAAAGGTATGTGGGGGGAAATTGCTACTGACACTACTGAGAAAGAAGAAAAGACTAGTTAGTGACAAGCAGCAATAGTTTTTCTAAATTTGATCAAGACTCTTAAAGAGAATCCTTTCCAAATGTCACCCTGTAATAAACATGGTATTCCAAAGAATTGTGTCTCGTGGGTATTATGTATCTAGTAGAATTATTAAATGCCACAGAAACAGGATGTAATGGCATTACTGACCTTGTCAAACCAAACTTCTATTGACACGACTTTTAACCCGAAACATATTTTATGTAACAGTAGGCCGAAGTGTTCACATAAATCAGCCCAAATTTCCCCTTCGATTAATTGATTCTACATTTCGTGCCGTTTTGAGACCAGTGCTATGGGGCGCCGTTTGTAAAATAATTATTTAATTTTTTTTTATAGCAAAAAACATTAGATTTAACTCCGAATATATATATTTAGATAAATATTAGAACAAAAATGGCATATATGTAAATATCAAAAAACATTGTAGCTAAAAGTCGAGTTTTTGGTCTATGAAAAACTTTAAATGTTATATCTTGATTTCACATCGCTTAGTTAAATATAAAGCTAAATGTGCTGTTTTTCGTGGGTGTAAATGCTAAATATTAAATCACTGAAAAATCTAAAGTTAAACATTTAGCTAAATATATAAACATTTAGCTAAATATATAAACATTTAGCTAAATATATAAACATTTAGCTAAATATATAAATATTTAGCTATTTAATATAAACATTTAGCTAAATATATATATTTAGTTAAATATATAAACATTTAACTAAATATATAAACATTTAACTAAATATAAACATTTAACTAAATATATAAACAGTTAACTAAATATATAAATATCATGCTAAATATATATGTTTAGCTAAATATATAAATATTTAACTAAATATATATTTGTGGTCCCGCCAATATTTCTATTATCGTAAGCGACACAAAAAAACTGCGCATAAAATGATGACGTGTACCCGACACGTGAGCCTTGGCACTAGGCCTACTAGCAATTAGAAATGGAAGCTGACCACGAACTTGTAACCCGAATCACGGGTGTAAGAACAAAGCTGGGCGTTCAGGTACCAGATAGTACTGTGTTGTGCAGTCAATGGAAAGTTGTACACTACGTCATCGTTTAGTGTGAAGTCGCTTACAACAATAATTTTTTTACAAACGGCGTGGTACGGTTGCGCTTTGTAAATTTAACTATATATTTAGCTAAATATATAATTATTTATTTAAATATATAATTATTTATTTAAATATATAAATATTTAGCTAAATATATATTATTTAGCTAAATATATAAATGTTTAACTAAATATATAAATGTTTAACTAAATATTTTAACATTTAACTAAATATATATTTAGCTAAATGTTTAAACATTTAACTAAATATTTAGCTAAATATTTATATATCATCAAATCTCTTGTTTTGGTCTTAATATTCAATGCTAAATGTTAAATATGAAAATAGAGACAACTCGAGAAATATTTATATATATTATGTTAAATATTGAGTTTTTGTTGTATTTTTAGTTTAAATATTAAAAGTGAAAAATTTGCACAAAAGTCGAGATTTAACTATATATATAAATTTAAATTAAATCTAGTGTTTTTTGCTATATAAAAAGCTAAATAATTAATTTACAAACGGCGCCCCATACAGTGCTGCGATAAATTAACAAATTGTGTAAAAATCGGATTTACACAGGCATAAAATTTCTACTACCGTATCTGTTTATTAAAGGAGCTAAATTGCTAATATTTGGGACCTAGAAATTGACTCGAATGGGTCGCAACGCATATAATAATGTGATATGTGTATATAAACTGATTTACATTCAATCGTTTCCGTTTTTACCCTAATTTCAAATCTGCTAGTTACGTCCCGGGGTACACGAATATGTTTATTTTGTCTTAAATATTGGATGGATATCAGAAGCCCATCTTTTTCCGGTAAGATCACAACATCAATGTTGATTTAAATTGACAAATAATTTGTGTTTTCAATGTCGAAGACCTTTGATACCGAGTCAGAGACTGAGCTACTTTAAGCTTATGTATGGGAGATTACTCTTTTTGACGTAATGAGGATACAGACTACTAATTATCTGCCCGTTCACTTTTGTTAAACTCATGACATTTCTTGGCCAACAACATCTTTTGAACATACCGATGATCTTAATCTCTTTAATCACAAAGATTCAACATGTCATATACATCTGATAAAAATATGGCAGGCGGTAGACTGATTTGATTTTTTCAACACCTGCTTAAAGGCTTAATACCACTCTTGTAACTGAATAATATGTCCCAATCTTTATTCTGGTCAACAAATTGTACTATTTTACAATATTCCAATTAATTGGTGATACAAATTTCATCTTAACACACCTAATTTAAAAAATTGGAAAAATTCAACTAAATGATTTGAAAAGTCTAACGTAAACCTTTTTAAATGTGACTTGGATTTAAAAATATTTTCGAACCCTCTGGACAAGTAAAATAGGATGTAATGGATAATTTACACAACAGGTAGGACACTTAAACATCTAGTACTTAGAATAAGGCTATTATTTATTTTCTGTAGCTGTCAAGCCAGCAAGAGTGTTATTGTCCCTTTAAAGGAATATAGGCCCTGACATCATTTGGTAGTAGATTTCCCAAGATCATGCCTTTTTTACCTTCTGTCCTTTCGTCTTAAAATCATGAATCATCACCAAAACCTTACACTGCTGCCAGAAAATGTAAATTAAAACACTCTTCCAAAGAACATTGATAAATGTATTGACTTGGTTTGTTCATCTGTTTTTCTTTTTCATTTCTTACATATCTAGGCCTACTTCAGAAATTCTGCAGTAGGGATACCTACAAGTCCACACAAACATCTTTCATTTTTATTTTATAACAGTGTTGTCTCCCTTTATAACGATTTATGAAAACCCTACCACTCACACTTGATATTTCTGGAAATGTTGAGACTAACTACCTGCATTATTTCTACATACCCAATGAACTACATGTACTCAAATGTACTTTTTGAAAGGGAACAAATAATGTAGAATTTTAATAGTTTTTTCATTCAGAAACCTTCTCCCAGAGTTTCATTTAAGACAACCTTTTCCAGGTATAATATTGTTAATAAAAAATTAAAAAGCCAGGAGTCAGAGATATCTCCTGTGGTTAAATTCTAGTGCAGGTTAAAGTTGATTTTAAAGTTTGTCCACATTAAACAACAAAGAATAAAGTCTTGTATAATTTATTGACAAAACTAATAATCTACCATGACATATATATGGTTACAAAAAAAAAGTTAAATCATAATAGTATGGCAATTAAAATAAATATGCTGAAATTCTGCAACACTATGAGCAAATGAGCAAAAACATGTTTTAGCAATGGAAATGTGATTTAATGTTATTGAATTTTAAAAATAGTTAATGTGTGGTTTCTTATTGCTGGTACTCATTCAGATCTACAAACTGCAATTTTTTTTTTTCCATACAAATATATTATGGTGGTATATTAGATTTAAAATTCTAACACGCTATCATCTAATTTCTAAATTAAGACAATGTATGTATAATCCAACTTCTTTATTTGTTCAGTGTAAATTTTAATTCTGTTTCATCTTATTGATATTATTAAGACGAAAAATGTCTACTTTGTTGTCGCTTTACATGTTAAGCATGAACGTCAAACAAATTTAGAAATTTGAAACTTCTACCTAGCAACCATCATTATGACGTCATTTGGTGTCGCCACCGTGTGCTCAAATTGGCGACTGAGCACCTGATTGGGACCATTATGTTGATACAAACGACTCGCTCTTCGTCAGGTTGAATGGTATAACGGAGTGTTAAAATTGAAAACATCGAACATGATATGGTTTGCAAATACTATTTCAAATATAAGCTAAACAGCATTTGTTCATTTTCTTTTTAAAGACAAGTGCAGGATTTGGAGACTTTTATTTGATTTTTTTTTTACAGTTAAACCAATTAATATTAATATACTTTTGGTCTATATTCTTTTACTCTTCTAAAAAATGTCTCTTTATACCATCCAAACGACTAGCCACTGTCCGTGCCAGACCCCCATCCTGTGTCAATAACAAGAGATGGAGAACCACACCGGAAGATATCGGTTATATCATAGGGAAATATATCTATGGATTATATAACATTGTCAGCTAGTATACACACTGGCAAAAGTAAGAGAGCTAGAGAGAGAAATAGGGTTTAACGTATACTCGACACAAACTAGGTCATTTCGGGACTAACATATTTCAATAATTCTCTTGTGCGTAGGGGTCTTGTGTCGAGTGGTCGTTAAACGACATTTATCTCTCTATATTTCAGCCCTCCGTCCAACCATCAACCACACATAATGGTCCCGACCAGGTGCGCAATCATCAAATGAGCAGCAGTGTCAACACCAAACGACTTCATAATGATAGTTGCTAGGCAGAAGAGTAAAAATTCTAAATTCGTTGATGTTCATGCTTCACGTGTTTAGCATCAATGATGAAGATGTTTTTCGTCTTAATAGAAATAAGATGAAACAGAATTAAAATTTACACTGAACAAGTAAAGAAGTTGGATTATACATTGTCTTAATTTAAAAATGACATTAACAGAAGTTAGAAATTAGATGATAGCATGTTAGAATTTTGAATCTAATATACCGCCATAATACATCCAGTTGATGAATATTTCAGTAGAATTTTCTAAATAAAATAAGAGTTATGAAATAATTAATTACTATTCTTGCATGAATAAAATTCTTTTGACTAGACAAAATAATAAATAAATAGAAATTTAAGTAAAATACTTTCCAACCATCTTATTTGGGTGCTTTTTGTTTTAAATAATAAACAAACTAACCATATGAATTGAGAACACGGCATATCAAAATTGGTGGGCTATATAAGCAGAAAAGGTAAAATTTATTAAATTGCAAAAATGTTTAATCTAATCGAAACTGTACTTCTACACATACTATTTTGTGGTAAAAATGAAATCACAATTATATAAAGGCAATCATAAAAAGATAAAGAATTTTTATACAAAATATTTGTATTTTTGATTCCCTCAGTTCTAACTTTCTTTCAATTGTCATTTAAACTGTCTCAAATTGTCACACTTTCAACAAACTTTCTTGGACACAGAACACTTATGATGTCTTACATCTAACATAGACTCTTTAAATAGTAGGCGCACCTTCAAACCAACCACATTTAATAAATATTTTTAGTTGCTTTGCAATTTTTAAAAGCCTGACTATGAATATCCTCAACCATGCCATCTAATTATACACAAATGTGGGTGTATGTACTCTGTCAATTATTTAAATAATACATGGAGATATTTTTTTTAAATTTCATTGCAATAGTTTGAACATTGGTTCATTTTACAAGGAGTATTTAATATTCAGTTTGATTACCCTCAATGTTCTCATTCAGATGTTAAAAAGTTTTCTTCTAAAAAGAATCGCATTGGAAGAACTTCATAAGGAAAATAATACAGAGTTATCATCTACAAACTATGACAGGAAAAACACAATATGAAAATTTCCTCTAAACTGTGAATATATGTAAATGAAGTCTATTCAGTATTGGAGAAGAATTTAATTCAATATACAGTGTTTATTTAGTGTGATTTGAATAGTTATATCTACATATATCAAGTACATTTATATTATGCAATATCCAGTATATATATACTGAGTAGAATAATATAAGTAATGTTATTACACTAACAAACACAAATATTTACAAGATTAAAACAAGATGAAAATCTTTAAACAAATGATTTTAAGAATAATTGAAGAGGTCAGTTCCCTAATGGAATCAACACAAATTTTTGGGAAAACTATTCTATTTTCGAGAAAGTGGAACAGATAATTTGATTCACAAGTTGTTAAAATGGAGATATCTCATTTAGGAAGTAAAGTCTTCAATTACTTAATAATGATTGTATGTAAAATGATATAAATATGTGTTAATATACACCAGTTCAACAATAACACTAAAACTATAGCAATAATAGTACAATATATAGTACAAATATTATAAAACCTATTTATACACTAACATGTATATCTAGTAATCATATAATAGCATATGTTAAAGTAATGAGCTAAATTCCAATTTTTAAAAAAAAAAAATAATCCACCCAATGTTTAAAATGACTATCCTTCTTTGATTTGAATAAAATTGTCAATTAATAAGATTTGATCAGTCAGTTTGTTTTATGAGGTGGGTATCTGTCTAATTAGGTCTACAGATATTGTCAGTTTTGAGATCTGACTGATTTTATGTTTAATTGTCTACAATTTAAAACAGAACTTAAACTAAAATTAGTAAACAAATTGACTTTCGCTTTATATTTCAAAACAAAATTTTTATTCTACAGACCTTTCTATTATGACCTCTATCAAAGACGTTTAGCTCCTTTAAAGTACCTGTTTTAAAGCCAAATTTAACATTAATAACATCTGTGCTAGCCAACAGATAATGTTGAATAAGGTTTGGTATCACCTATTCTCACCTAATATTTTAATTACAATTGGCATAATGACAATTACTAACTAGCACATTTGACTGTGCTTATGTCTACAAAAAGTATTAAAAAACAAAACACACCCATATCTTATTAAAATTTAATTCTTAAAATTATTTTCAAAATGTGCAACTTGTACAAATTTTTTATTAACCTTAGGCTATGAGTACTGCAAACAAGCATATTTTTTCACCTGATCGTGGCAATTGAAATTTGCCATTGATTTTTTTACGGCCATTCATGAACGGGCACACAGTGATCTTCTCGAAAGTATACACCACTCTGCGAGTAAATTACATTGATCCTGTGACTGGCGATTCGCTGAAAACGTAAGATTGCTGTGGTAGCTGCTATTCATTTGCTCCTAAAACTCTGAAATCGTGATGTCAAACAGGCAACGCCTTTCTGATCAAAGAATCATCAATTCTTTTTCTTTCCTCAGACTCAACGCTTTGGCAGTTGAGGTAGCCATTTTGAGATCATGTGAAATCAATGATGTCTCCGACTGGCTTATAAAAATGGTTCACTCGACAATATATGCTGGATACGGACAGATGAGCCGAAAATATCAAATATGCTAGATATGGGCGATTGAATGGGCAAATGGTTCGCGTGCAGAATCGTCGTTGTTGTGAACAGACACACAGGCAATTTTAAAATCGGTGCGACAGGGCAAAAAAATATGCTTGTCTGCCTTAGGTATAAGTCACCAAATCTTGAACAATGTAACATAACTGATAAACTGTTTTTTTTTTATTCTAAAATAATAGTGAATGATGGTACTAAAATTTAAAAAAAAACCCAACAAAACACCATAAGCGTAATTATAATCATTGAATAAAAAGACCTATTTGATAGGTCCTCAATAACATACATATAACAGTGTTCAAATCATTACCAAACAGGTTTGTTAACAAAAACATGATGTGCACCTGTCACATTTACACATGTATCAATCAGATTAAAATTCTGCTACTAGTCCTTAAGTACTTTAGAAAATTAGACTCATAAAAACTTGAATTTAATTAAAATTATATCTTTAAACACACCAAACAGAGTATCATGATGATCTTGGATTTTATGGCATAGTGTACCTTTAAAATGTAAACCATGTATAATGTAAATATATGAATTAAAGTAGATAAAACTGAGTAATAATTCAAACTATATGACAATGTATAATATAATAAGAATTTGAGCATATAAAAGTTAACAGTAATATATCTAACTATTGTATATATTAAAACTAATATAGAATGTGACCCTATCATTCCTACGTAACTAACGTACGGAAATTAAACGGTAGCTGGCTTTTTTTTCGCACGTATACAGTGAATGGCCATTTTGCTCAGTAATCCCAGCCAGAATTTGGCTATTTTTTTAAAATTGCGTTAAAGTTTTAAATTTTTGTTTAGAACTGAAATAAATTAACTTTTAGTCAATCCCCACGCTAAAAACATTAACAGAATTGATTGTGTATATCTGAAATAGACACGACCGAAGCACAAAATAGTGCCAATATGCCGATGTCAAATCTAGAGTTGTAGATGATGTTATTTTTCTGAAAAATCATTGGAAGAAGCGATAAGACGTTCTGTACGGATTATACAGTCCTAAAGGCTGCAAGAAGGCTGCAAGAAGGCTATTGTTTACAATGTAACATTGTGTCTTGTAAGGTTGATAATGATCATAATGATGGTGTTAACATTTGTTTGGTGATGTGACCTCATGACCTGTGACGTTTAGATAACGTCATATGGATATCATGGCTATTCACTGTGTCAGAGTCACTTCTCTGCAGGTAGGGTGAGTCTGTCGTTCAGATTGCCTATCATTATGATGAGAAAAAGAGCAAATGTTAAAATAATATGCTTAACTACAGCTAAATGCTAGATTTACTTCCATAAAAATGACCATCATAAGATGGGTCAGTGCTGAAACAAAAAGGAAGTGGATACCCATGATGTTTTCCATCTGTATTTCTCAGTTCTGTTTCAGAGGCTTGTTTTAAATGGTACAAGTTAATAATTATATTTTGTACAGTTAGAAGTGAAATCAAACCCATATGTATTGTATAAATATTCGTTATTGATATAAATTGTAAAATATTTCATGCATCAAATTGAAAATGTGATCTTGATCAAAAAATGGGAATGTTTTAAAAATGTTTACAAAGTCTTTATAAACTCAAAACACAAAAAACTAAAATTAGAAAAATATATGGGTATACATACAGTAAATCAGAGTGTACACTATATGATAATAATCTCAGTCTAAAAATACAAATATATCATTGTAGTATTATAAATTAAATACCAGTGAGAAATAAAGAAGGATTATCATATGGACTAACTTTTATTCCCATCATTTTTACTCTGGTATAAATAGTTCCTAAACTACATGTAGTGGTGCCATTCCATAAAGGAAATCTACAGACATATACATTTATTATGTAAAGGCTCATAATACTGCAAACAAAGCATATAACATAATATATTAAAGATATTTAAATATTACCTAGACTATTTAAAGTGTACTCTGAATAATAATATTATACAGTGAAGTATACCCAAACCCATCCCCTTTATTCTATGTAGAAAATTCTATACACAGCATTAAAATCATTAATCAGAGAGAGACAGAATGGAGTTTAACGTCCACTTGACACAAACGAGGCCATTGCGGGACTAACATGATTTAATTTTATTTCCATTATTTGCTTGCGCGTAGGGGTCTTTAGCAGTAAGAGAAAACTGGAGGACCTGGAGAAAAAAAATGAGGTTGGACAGGCGACCCTACTCCTTGTCACGTACAGCCGGGGAATCGAAAACCCTCCAGTTGACTCAATGACAGACCTTATGATACAGCGCGCACGCACTAACCATTCGGCCATCCCATCATTAATCAATGTTTGTTATATAAATGAAATGGGGTTTAATGTCCTACTGTTTTGTTATACCACATCCTATTATCAATATATTATATATAACAACACTGTCGAAATAATTACACAATAAAAAATATACTGTTAAATTCTCTCATTTCCTACTTCTATTGATTGGTACACCTCAGTTGTTGTATATATGTGTATTTTCTTTTCTCTACACTAACTCTAAAACTATTCACCGACAAAAAAACACATTAAACATAGTTTTATAAACAAAACCGATTTCACAAACTATTCACAACGATTTTTGTTATTTTTCACAATAAAAGACAAAACAATAGTTGTAAAATTCCACATTTTTGGGTAATTTGTTTTCAATGGAATGGAATATTTGAATATATAATAACTCTTAAATAAGTTATTTCCGGTATAATGTTCTCTCTGTGAGTAAGGCAGCCATATCTTAATCTCTTTAAATACAAAAAAAAAAATTCTCCATGCTGCAGTTATTTTTTACATGTCAGGTTCTGTACACAAGTATATAAAAAATCCATTTAAATGCGTGTTCCATGACTTGTGAGTGGTTCGGACTCCGGTGGATCATAGTCCATTTTATACATCATATCATCCATGGGATATGTCTGTTCCATGTAGGTGTATGGGGGAGCAGTTGGTTCAGGTAGGGGTGGTGGGGGATGATGGTAGCCATTTGCATCATGTTCTTGTTCACGTACTCGTTCAGTAATACCACAAAAACAGCTGGTGATTTTCTGAAAAATATATATAAGTTATTTTAAATAAGCAAGTGTGTAAAGAGACATGATAATCTTGACTATAGAGTAAAGCCTGCAGGTAGAGGAATGAAGTTTCTGAAAGTTAGAACCAGGATCATCAAGTAATTTATTACTGGAAGGTAGAATACTTTTAGTGGGCATTTTACAAATATTTCAGAGATATTCTAAAGTGAAATACAAAATTTGGTGACGATGAGAAATTTCATTAATGACTTAGTGTACCATGGGCCTGCTTGATTTGTCCGCGGATAGGTGAGCCCGTTTCTACTATGGCGTACTCCGGTCAGGTTACCGTATCGAAGCAAATCAAGTGACCCGGCTGATAAACAATATGGTGTCGGATAATGTTATAATATTAAACCGGTTACATGACATGTTTTAATCAAAAACAGTATTCTTGAAAGTATGACGTGAAAGTGCCCGCAAAATAAGCAGAAAATTATTATTAGTAATATTACTGAGAAAAAATAAATGACATATGAACTTCTGGTTTTACGAAGCTCAAATTCAACTTCAAAACATTTGGTTTAATTCTAACGCTTTAAAATTAGTGTTTTATGGCATTCCTAAATAACGTGAATTTTATCTCGTTGACATGTTCACCATCTTGCGCCGGTGTTCGCCGCTGCCGCTAAAGCGGCGCATTCGGCGTACGCCGCAGTCAAACTTTTGTCAACTTTCTGTGAAATCAAGTGACCTAGCACAAAAACTGCCGAACTGTGGTCAGCCGGTATGCGCCGGTATTGACAAATCAAGCAGGGCCCATGGTAATAATATTGGTAATAAGTATATCTTGTCTCCCATTGTAAATCTGGATTCAAAATCGTCTCTGAATCAAAATTTGTTACCAATAGAATAAATTATTCTAAACTTTACATTAATTATGGTAGCCTTGTTTAAAATATAGTATCTGGATAATCAGCTCTATCTTTACACACCTCATAATGACCAATCTCGAACATACAACTTAGTATTTAGCTTTGATCAGAATAAGGATAAAATAGTGATGTTTTGATAAGTAGTTGCGACAAATTGCATTGTTAAACACAAGTGTAATATTTGGCAATATCACTTTAGTATGATTCCATTTAAGTATAATTAGTTGATATATATGCTTTATTATGCTTGTACAGTATAATCAATCTGATATGTACCTATAATAGACTATGAATATGAAGGGGGTTACTAAATATAGATCAAGTGTATTAAGAAAATACTATGTCAGCTACCTTGTAAGGTCACCATAAAGTATGTTGTATAGTATGTTAAATATAGGTTGATTTTTGTGTTGAAAGTGTTAATTTGCATAATGAGAGCAACCAACCATTGACAATATATTTAACATCATATTTTAGTAACTTGTTTATTTTTGTTTCTGATCAATATGAGACCAAATTTTATTCAGAATATCATAGATAAGAATGTCTTACCCCTCTAGCTACAACTACAGCATGGATAACTCCAATGATAACACCTATATAAGGAAAGGCAGCTATAACCCAACTAACAATTTTCCATGAATCATTATAGATATAACTTTCTCCCATTAACTTCATCGGTGCATCTTTAGTTTTATGGAAAACATAAAACCATACGCCCTGTAAAATATAATTCTAAATATAGCATCAATCAAAATATATTACATTTTTATATTTTTTCAATTAATTTCTGTTCCATTGAAAAGCGGGGACTGGGTTTAACATCTACACTCCATGCATGATCATAGATTTGCATAGATTTACAGTTTCACACTTCAGACCACTTACCCGAATCATTCAATTTATGGCTAAACCTAAAGAGTCTTTTAACATTAATTTACACTATTCTGTATGCAAGCATGGATCAAGGGTTTTGGGACTAGGGGAAAGGGAGAGGGGACACACAGAGGCCAAATAATTTCTTTGACTATCAAAAATTCACTGGATAGGTCTTACCTAATTGGCAGATATTTAGTAACTGTTGTGTAAATAATTAGGGCTCTTGAATTCTTAAAGGAGTGGCGGGGGATCAATATACTAAATTAGAATGAGAAAACTTACAGAAGATGTTGTTGCTGCGAAAAATACCCATAAAGCCATAATGATTCTTTCAGCAAGGGCAAAATTCTGTCTTACTGAAAGATAAAAAGATAGGTTGCCAGGCAATGAAGCATACGCCAACAGCAGCTAAATTGTCCGGGCAGTCAACAAGAGTTGTCGTATATTTTTACTTTTGTCAGTAATAAAACATTTATAATACAATTTAATACACTAAAATCTGATTAAGAATTACAACTAATTATCAGAAAATCATTAGAATTTGTTTGACCCATGCTAACTATATAAAACATTTAATACCATGGATTTAGCTGTTCAAGTTACCAAAAATCATTGAAAATCAATACACAAGTACTTGTTCGTCTTAAGACCTTAAACTCTTTGTATCAACCTAAAGTCAATCGAAACGATATATATAGGCATAAACATGGTGTATAAATATAAAATCAATCAGATGATAACTATATATGATCTCTAAAGCATCCACCAGATTTTTCAAAGTGATCAAGGGCCATAACTCTGGCAGTAATTATCGGAAATCAATAGGCTTCTTTGTCTCATGACCTTAAACACTGTGTATAAATTTAAGACATTAATTTTAACCTCTAGAGCGTCCACAATTGCCGGACGGACGGACAGGGGCGACGACAATATACGACCACATTTCAATGTGGGCATATAAAAACCTACAAAAATGTGGGTTCCTGACATCTCAAATAGCTTTCCCTGTTCACTCAATGATATGGAAGTGACAATCGGCAAATGTAAGTCATTTCTGATTAAAATAATAAATCTCTAATGGAAGTTTACGGGAAAAATAATATGAAATCAATTATATTGTAAAAGTTCCAGACAAACTTTGCAATGTTTTTTGACATTTAACAGCTTGAACTTACGATAAACAACTACTAGACCAAACGCCAACAAATCAATCAATATAAACTGTAATCTTGTTATTGATTGGTCAATCAGCCCAAAATAGTACAAACCAGCCTGTAAAATAAAGTTTTACATGCACATTAATCTGGAACTGACATTGACATAATACTTTAGTCTGCAATTCTATTTTAGGACATTCAAGTACATTACAAAGCATTTTAACTTGTTCAATCTTTTTACTTGAAATGGGCTTATTCTGCTGGTTGGATGATTAATGTAAGGGAAAGATCATACTCCTTGCATTCATAGAATATCTAGAATAACGGTTCATATTTAAAACTGAATATGCATAATGGTTCATAATTAAAATTAAATATGCACGATAATTCACAATATAAATGGAGAGAGAGAGAGAAATGGGGTTTAACGTCCACTCGACACAAACTAGGTCATTTCGGGACTAACAAATGGTTTAATTTTATTTCAATAATTCGCTGGGTGGAAATGAACTAGATTCTACGGAGTCAGATTGTTTGTTCGTCGTTTTGGATTTACTGGACGAAGATGAGGCAAGGCCTTCGTTTGACCTTGAAATATTTTTAGTTTTTTCATTACATTGTTTTTTAGAGGGAACTACGTTCCCAGATTCTTTTAATGGATTTTGGATTTTTCTTTTACCACCAGTCGTGGTTTCCTGTAAATCTTCCTTTAGAATCTGCTTAGTAGCAGGAGCATGTTTCGCCATTTTTTCAGCCATGTGCTTTATGAACACCAAAAAACAAACTGCTTTTAAGTTAACTAAAAAGTAAACTGCTTTAGCAAATTATTGACTACGTCAATACAATCTTCGTTGTTACTACGTAACAGAAATGTTCAAATATTAAAAAAAAACTTTTTTAAAAAAGACACAATGACAAATAAGCAAAGAGCTTCGAAACAAGTCCTTCGCTTGTGACTGGGCAAGCACGCACTGATTTTCGCGGGCAAGATGCAATCTCACGTGATCTCATAATGTTAATATTGGGTGTTGAAAAATTAAATTTTAGTATGCATACTGATCCATAATTAAAATGGAATAGTTAATAATTTAAATGAAATATGAATAATAGTTCATAACTAAAATGGAATAGTTTATAATTTAAATGAAATATGGATAATAATTCATAATTAAAATGGAATATGGATAATAGTTCATAAATTAAGATGGAACATGCATGATTTAAGTTCAATATTCATCATGGTTATATCTAAAATGGAATATTTTCATTAATGTAATCAATCTTTTTCATTCCTTTTAGCATTTTGTCAAAGAACATGGTGACATTAACATTCACACATAAAGCAGGTTTTATTGGTGAGAGAGGACCTAAAACGTAAATCAAAATTTGATTTACGGTATAAAACTGACAAAAATATTGATCCCAACCTTATGCATATAAAAAATGTTATGAGTTACGGAATTTTGTGTCAATTTGTGAGTTCATCAACAAATATAGATCTGGTTTTATCATTTATATAAGAGAAAATGTTGGCAATGTTGAGAAATGACAAGGAGTTGTCAAGTGTTATATGTTATATTGAATGAGAGCCAAGAAATCCTCTTCATTACATGTGGTTGTTGGATTTAATTAAATCTATAGCTAAGTGTAAATTACTGTCTTAATCATTATCGACAAAAATCAATATACAATGTACTTGTAAACATTCTATATAAGACAGTCCCAAACATGTTCTTTTCTACTAGTAAATCTTATTTGATATATCTTTACTCAAATTCCAGCATTACTCCTGTATTTATTGTGCCATTATATTTGTGAAAAGCATATACATAACTGGTTTGCGTAATAGTATGGGTTGCCAGTTAACTTGTATAATTCTATCCCATGCTAGGCAAGTATCGGTGCTTAGGTACACTCATACTTACGTCAGTGATAACTGACATATATTTCATGCCTTTTGAAAATTGGTTAGGTACCTTTTCTTGGTGTTTGTCATTTTCATGAAGTCATGGTAAAACAGTCCTATATTTTACTATTTTTAGTCCTACCAATAAGCTCTTCGAGCTTCTGTCCCTTTAAACATTACCCAATGAAAATGTTGGTCCTATCATGGTTATTTTCAAATCTTAAATTGACATATTCATCTGGAAAACCCTCAACTATTATTAGACCCAGAGGTCGCAGTCACGCAAAAATCTGCGTTTTTCACGCATTTTTTTCAAAATAAACACAAATATTGAAGGATGCTGAGTAATTTACACGCAGAAAAATTTCCCCGACATGAGAATAATTGGATTATTCTATTTCATAGTTTGTACACTGTCATCAATTTCCGTGCTTCATGCGGCATTTACACACCGCATTCAGCCAATCAAATATTGGCTTTCATAGAGATAGTTTGCTCTTTACTTCCTGTCGAAGTGAAAGATTGAAATGACTGTGCCGTCAACCATAGATATGTCGTCATTAAACTAAATACAATATCAATGAAATAATGACACTTAAAATAGGGTTGTTCACGTAACGATTTTACTTGCTTCTATTGAATATTTTGAAAGACTCTAAATCACGCAGATGTAGAGAGCAAAAACGCAAAATTTTTGAATGTCTGCATATTTTTACGCAACTCGAAATTGATCCACTGCAACCTCTGATTAGACCATTAATGAGAACTGATCAATCTGCGATCTGTCTCCAATTTAAACGAGGAAACAATTTTAATCTGTAATCTGGCAAGGTTATATTACAAATACTAGTAACATAGTTAGTATGGTAAGGTATTTGTCCTGATAGAAGTATAATTTAAGGTAACTCACCCGAGTGGTTTGTAGAATACCAAGTCCTTTGGCTATACACATGACAACAAATGACATGAGTAAATGTACAGCTATTTTACTACATGATTTTCTACTGACCCATTCTTCTAAGCTATCCATTATATTATCAACTATCGTTAGACATCCTATACACTGAAATACAACAATATAACTCTTCTATAGTCGTTACAAATAATAATTACAGATTTATTTGCAAATAGTGATATGAAATTGACAATAATCTACAGAAACTTCACCTGTTGCAGTTCCTTATATTTTTGTCATTATCCTTTATCATTCTCAGCCCAAAGTACAAATCTTTTTGTTTTTAATTTATCAATTATGGCAGTTGGAATGACAATGTCAAAATTCTAACAAATTCAAAATATTAACACTTTTTAAACAGTATTTAATCTGTGCTACTCACATAGAAATTTCCTTCGCTACCAATCCAACATTGGTCAAAACTTATTATTGAACATCTATATATCTTCTCCACTAGATGTGACACATTTTATACTTTAAATAAATTACTTACCAAGAACATAAGACCGAAGAGGAAGGCTGATAGTAAAAACAGGAATGAATATGGCTGTGGAATATTAAGAGCTGTAAAAGCTGCTGGCATCTGCCATAAGATTATACTAGGTCCTCCTGCTTCTAAAACAAAACCCAACAAGTTTCAAGCCATAGTAGAACAGAAAGGGAAAAGATATTTTACTTAATAAAATTTAACATAAATTAAGGGCTGGTATATGGCTTCTTTAGATAGTAATTTAAATGAGTAAAACAAAAATCCTAAGTTAGATGCCATCTTGATAGAAAGAAGTTATTCTTTCGTAGCAGACTAACGTCATAAAATCAATAGAATCGAATGGCCATAAATTAGGATTGATTTATTCTAAGTTCGATCTAAGTTTTTTGACATGGTATTTTTCGATAAAATAAAAATAATTCATCAATTTTCTTCACAAAAAGGGGTAAATATCAAATTCATAACAAAGGTAGCCATAGTAGTATCAAAGTGGTTACTGAATGACACGTCTACAGAATTTTATATCGGAGATTTGGGTCAATGAATTTTACTTGATATCAGCATTAACAAACACTGAGATTTTATTAATATGTCACTCCTATCAAGAGGTCAGTCATGACAATTCACTTGAGTGGTCGCTGAATACAGATTCTACTATATTTTCCTTTCAGTGGAGAATATTGTGCCTTTAATAAACACTAGATGATTTCAAACATCTGCATTAATAGAAATTTTAATGAAGGTCAGATGTAAAAAAACAGGTTTATTTTAGGACAATCTCATGGCTAGTTTTATGAAGGATAGATTTATTTTTGTTTTGATCTGTAAAGAGAAATGTTAAAGTTGAACTTACCTCCGAAACCTGGAGCTTGTTTATCAAATATCATATTACCTAGATATGGTGCCATAGCTATAGGTGGTATCTGTGATACTACAACAAACACTGCTACAACTACTAACCATGAACTGTAAAATACAATATATTTATAACAATCATAACTAAAATGTGATGAATTTCATATTCTTCAAGTAAACTTTATTTGTCCATAAAAATTCACTGAACGATTGATACTAGTTTGAGTAATTACAGATTGTATTTCGAGAAAAATTATCAGATTATCTTAAGGCACAATCTGTTGAACTATAATTGAACTCTTGTCTCTTTTAGGAACAAGAAAATAGCTTATTTACCTATAAACATTATATAATTCAAGCTGATTCATCACTCTCCCTCAATTAGAATCAAATTGATTGTGTCCCAAAGCATTGACTAATCAATTTGCTGTCTCTGCTTGGCCTTAGCGAAAAATGCAAATCATCGAACCCAGTCCACTTTTTATAAACATCTACACCAGGTTAAAACATTCTAACTCAATAAAAAGTGTTCAAAAGACTTGACAAATTAAACTAATTAACACTACTTAGTCTAAGCACAAAATGCTCATTATATAAAAATAACATAGTCAAGATATTGATGTAAAGAAACTATACACCAAGTTTCAACACTGGCTACTCTCAATCAATTACATGTACATCATTATCTCCCAAAGTCAAACTGCTTATCACTCTACTTGAAAATAAAAACATCTTACATGTTACGTGTAGTACGTCCACGACCACATAATTTACCCATGGTGGTAGCAATAGCTGTCCATATAGGCATAGCACACATCAATGTCTGGAAACCATTCATAAAACTCTGAAATATAAAAATAAACAATATTTATAATCCTAAGTTTTCGATTCTCTTTATCTTAAAAAGGTGGTATTTAATTCTTACAAAGATAATCTTAGCTTCATGCCTGATACAAGTCAGAAACTTTGAGATTTAATTGAGGACCACTAGAAATTCACTTACTCCGCATTATAAAGATATGTTTTTTTTAAATAATTTAAGTTTGAAACATAGTTAAAGGAGAAAAAATGCTTTGATTTGGGCCAAAAATAAGTTTATCTGCTATCTTATTTTGTTTAGCGATTAAGCAGATCAGTATATAAATACAGTCAAGTTTTTGTTTTGAATATTAAACAGATGTCAGTTTGTTTTCTAATTCTAGTTTCAATTTTGGTTTAAACTTAAACAGTCAACTGTTGGACATAAAATCAGTAATATCTCAAAATTGGCACTATATATGTGTACAGATACCTAAAAACAAACCAAGTCATCAAATTTATTTTTACCCACAACAAATAGGTTAGTCAATTTAATCTTTCATCATATTTTATATGAAAGTCTATTGTTTTTTTCTTTGGAATATTATTATTTTTTTGATTTTCCAGTCATGCTTAGTTCTCAGAACATATTTTACAGTGGGCTAGTAGTAGTATTGGATAGAACTGTTTTCGAATTTGACCAAAACCTTTTATATCATGAACTTGCATAACGGCAATAACTAAATACAGACTCTTATCTTAGTAAATAGATTTAATTAAATTTTGAAACTTTTAAAATGTCATATCAAACTACATGGATGGAAGAGACAGTAAATATCAAAGCTGTCATATCTGCTTCACACGTATAATTATGATCATTCTTCTTGTAATATGAACACATGGCATGTAAAGGAAATATTAAAGATAAAGTAATTGATATAAAGTATAATGGATATTTCCTATTGTTTAACCATATTTACCATTATATGCATGTATACAGTATGTTATTTGGAATAGACCATTGATCAAAGATTAAATCATTTTAAACATTGATTTGATTTAAGTGTCTAAACTAGTGGATTCAGGCTTTATTTAATGGATATCATTAAGCACTTACACAAACAACATCCATGATATAATATTATTAAGATTAACTTTCAACTAGAATTAATTATTGAAAATTGTTGAGATTCAACAGACTTTCTTTATTTCACTGATCTAAACAAAGCATCAAGCAGATCACTAATGTAAACAACATTGAAATAAATTGTTTAGGGAAATGGACCAATGGACCAAAGGACCAAAGTGAGGGAACAAACTAATTAGGCTAAATAAAAATTCTTACCTGCAATAATCCACTGTCATCATTAAATAGATATCGTTGTTTCAGAAAACTCACTGCAGGTTCTATCTTTAAGTGAGCATAGCCATATCCCAATACAGCTAATAGGCAGGATAGAGCAGCAGGTCCCAGTAAAAATAGTATCTATAATAAATTTAATATTATAACTTTAATAAAATATGACACCCTAAAATCAGGGAAATAAGAGAGAGAGAGAGAGAGAGAGACAGAGAGAGAGAGAGAGATGGGGTTTAACGCCCACTCAACACAAACTAGGTCATTTCAGGATTAACATATGGTTAACATTAACGTAGTGGGTCTTTAGCAGTGGGATGAAATCGGAGGACCAAGAGAAAACCCACAAGGTTGGAGAGGTGACCCTACTCCTTGTCACGTATAACCGGGGAATCGGAACCACGCCAGTTGACTCAATGACAGACCTTATGATACAGAGCGCAAATGCTAACCAATCGGCCCTCCATCCCCAAGACAAATAAAATTTGTTTTATTTGAATTGGTCAGTGCAAACCACAATGTCCTAGACTAAAAAAACATTGCATTGTCAGGCAACGTGTATGCAAACCAGCAGCATTTTAAAGAGTGGCTGTTAACTTCTAGGGTCCAGAGGCAATAATTAAGCATGACATTGAAGGGTGATGCCGACCCTTTGTGATTCTTTTTAAAAAAAAAAAAATCTGAAAAACTTTGATCTGTTTCGGTGACATTTAAAATAAATCTGAATTTTAGATGGTTCCTCAGTTTACCTAGAACAATTCACAGAAATTTGGAAAAAACTAAAACTATGCGCCACCATAAATAAATATCTCCAATTATATCTCCAATTATACCACAATATTCATATATATAACAAGCCTTAAAGGGGAATTATGGGGATAGATAAAGAGTTGACTGTTCTCATTATAATAGTTAACCAGCGGTTGCCAGGCAAGATACGCTGACATTTTGCAAGAGATGGATAGAGAACAAGGTAAAAAAAAAAAAGCGATTTTTTTGGGATATAAAGATATATCTTAAGTTTCATCAAAATCGAAATGGACCGAGATATTTGGGATATAAAGATATATCTTAAGTTTCATCAAAACCGATGAAAATTGTGATTTCTAGAGAGTCCACCACCTTGGTATTGTATACTCTTACACTATTTGCGTACGAGGGGCGGCCATTTTGTCCGCCAGTTTTGGTCCGATTTTCATGAAATTTGAACTTAGCCATCATTATGGTGTAATTGTGATATCATATGGTTTTTTAAATCGGATAATAATTGTGACCTCTAGAACGACCTCAAGCTAAAAACGCGACTTTTCGTACAATCTGGGGTAAAAATTCGGTGTTACGATCCCATATGCACGAATATTGAAAGAAACCAAGATCTTTGAGTTGTAAACATGTATTTCAAGTTTAATCAAAATCGCATCAAATTTGTGACCTCTAGAGAGTCCACAACCTTGATATACCATATTTTTACACTATTTGCTTACGAGGGGCGGCCAATTTGTCTGTCAGTTTTGGTTCGATTTTCACGAAATTCAAACTCAACCGTCATTATGGTGTCATGTGATATATTCGAGCGGTTTTGAAATCTGATAATAATTGTGACCTCTTTTGGGGATAAATCTATATTTCAAGTTTCGTCAAAATCGGATAAGAAATGTGACCTGTAGTGTCCACAAACAAATTATGGACGGATGTCTGGACGCCCAGAGGCGACGACAATATATGTGCACATAAAAATGTGGGCGTATAAAAAAACAGATTAATTTATAATATTAATAACAATTAAAATATACATAATATTGAGGTAATCTTTCATATGCCCTGAACAAATATAAATAATTTAAATTTGGTATATTTGGATATGGGAGATTCAGATACCCCATTTGAATCAACATTTTATTAAAAATTCAAAAATTTCAAATTGGAGCGGCCTTGACTGAGGTTTCCAAAAAATGATAAAAAGATATTAATGACAACTGATCTATCAAAATTCAGCAATGTTTTTACAAGCTTCTTGAAATTATTTGAAGTTAAAAAAAAAAGTAGAGTAAAGCAGCATTATAAACTCTTGTGACTTACGGGACACATTTCATATCCAATTTATGAGACAGATAAAATACTAACTCAATTTAAATAGCTTATGCATAATTCTAAGGACGATAAAATACATTGGACTTCCTCCTTATCATTTCACCCTACTGTCTGACAGATTATAATAATAAATGATCTGCAACCAACTTACCCAGCCACAGACACGTCCACCAAAACCAACCAATAAGAACACTAATACCCAAACAATTGCCAAGGTTACTGGCATCAGGGATACCTCAGCTTTCCTAGCAATCTCAGTAAATTCCCATTGTGGGAATCCATTCATATCCTCAATACCACTAGACATTTGTAAAAATTCATGCCTAAAAAGAAAATAAATAATGCTAAATAAAACATTTACCTTTTTAAATTAAAAGGGGATTATGTAAGATTTAGATAAAGAGCTGGTTGTCCTCGACATAATATTTCATAAATAGATAATGCAAAATGAACATATTGAAAATTTCATTCAAATTACTTTATTTTCAGCGAAATTATAAATGGTTGTAGTTTTGACAAGATGTGTGCATTATTCACTGGCATAGAAACGTGCAATTTCCATAAATGGTTGATAATCAGTCTGCAAATTTGAATCAATTCCATGCTATTCCCCGAGTACCTGGATAACAATGTCTATTTTTTGTCTATACCTGCCTAGGTTGTAGTGGTAAGAGATTGTTACTGAGCAATGGAATTTCCCCGAGATGTAACCTTGTAAAGCAAATCTAGCAATTGTTTCCAAACTTTTCCATTATTTTAAGCTGAAACTTTCAGACAAGGTAATTTGACCATATTTATAACATTCTAGCATTTGGTGTCTTCAACCCACTTTTAAATCCTTTGAAATCATGGACTGCTCCTTTAATCTAGGACAACCTTGTTATATTTTACTAATTAAGATCTTTCAAAACAGGAGGTTTTTTTTCACATATTTGCTTTCATTTTCATTCAACTGCTGATACCTCACTGACTAAATCTGTTGAATTAACCAATGCAGAAAGTGTCTGAAACCTTCTATTTCACTTTTTCATTTACGCACATTCTATATGCCTAATGTTCTTTGCATGATTTGTCAATCCTCTGTGGAATATTAAATCCATAAAAAAGTTTCTACATACATGTACATCTAAACGAGAAAAATTGTCTACATCCTTATACAACTAAGCAAAATAACAAAGTACAGGAATACATTCTGACTGGTTTTTTTTCAGATGGAGTTAAAGATACATTATGGGAGATTCGATAACGAGTTGGCAGTTCTCACTATTATAGTTAAAAACTAGATAATGTAAAGGCAATTTGCTGAAAATTTCATTCAAATTCATCCACTATGAACTGAAAACTAAGCGATTGAAATTTCAGCCTAGCCTCGATCATCATTACTAAAGTCAGTACGATAAACAGCATAGTCTCGATTATCCATTTAATCGTTAAATCGTGAAGCAAAGTTAGACAGTAAATCTGATTATAATCTACTAAAAATCACAGGCTAGCGATGCCATCTAGAGTTGATTATGGTCTGGATAGGTTAATTAATGTCTAATTAATAGTTTATATAACATTTCAGGCCTAAAGAATTACCTGCAATAGACAGATTTAACTCTTGCATAATGTATGTTTAAGTTTTCTTTTTAAATAGAATCACAAATTCAGAATGTGGTCTTAAAAGACATTAATTATTATTGATTTATTGAAATTCTAAATATTAATTAACATGTAGACTATATATTAATCTAAAAATGTGGAGTTTAAATGACATTGGGTTTTGCATGAAAAACAAAAACTCCAATGTTTTTTGTTGTTCCTGTCTGACAATTTTATGTAAATAACAAGTAGACTATGATACATAACTGTCAGGTCACACAGGTCAAATACATTATACATAAGTGATATCAACTAAATAACACTTCAAGCTACATGTATAATAGTCATAATCAAACATACAGTATGTCAAATAATTTCCGTTTAACTTCTCTAGGTTTTGTGATTTCATTTCCCCTCATGATGTATAAGCTTAAATATCATACAGGGAGTGGAATTTACTTTCTCATGATCTCAATACCATATCTAAATCATTATTAGACTAACATTTGATTATCTTTTCTTATCATCACTCATGCAGTCCTAACTAGGAGACTATTGCCCAATCACCAGCATTTTTGCCTGCTCTTCATTAAATTTCAACTATTGTGAGTTCTTTTACATGCACATCAACTAGTGGATCTCGGTCTTCTATATCGGTTGACATTGTTACAAGGCTAGACTTTCACTCAGTCCATCAGACACTACTTCGGACAAATGAAAACCAATTATGAAAAATCATTACGGTTCTTCTCAACTCGCACTCAGACTCAAAACCTTAGAATGGTATGAGAAAGTCTAGGGTCCTACCTAACAGTTTGATCCATCCATCTCATACAAAATATGTGAGTTGGATGGTAACACATGGACAATTGCATAAAAAAATGTTAAATGAAATTATAATTCTTAGTCATCACTAAATATGAGAACCTGTTACATTCTAATCTGATTGAAATCAGATTTTGGGGTTTTTTTTTTCTGTATTTAACCTTTTACTGGACTATATTTCACAAGCTTTATCGTGAATCGTGTTCTTACTTGTGTACTGTAAACAGCCAATAAAAATACAGCTATTCCAACCATGCCAAGACGATCAATTATGTAAACGTGAGTCGTTCTGATTATATATGTTAGATCTTATGTAGTGTACAAATGTAGATTAATTGATCATGTTCCTCCATGTATTAACCCATCAGGTACAAAATTCTTCTAGTAATTGATGCATGTGTACTTACTTGTAAAACAATTCTTCTGGACGAGAAGATTCAAATGTCATTTGGTTATATCTATAACAAACAAAATAATAAGTTAGATGAAAAACTATTTTAACATTTACTACACATGCATAAAATGCACTGAAAAATATAAGAAATGAACAGAGCTGAATGTTTAGTCAAACCAGGCCCCATTATTTTAAACTATAAACTATGGTTTTATTCTGCAATGCTGTGGATAATTTTAAGAGGGGCAGTGCCATTCCCACAAGGTTGTGCAGTCGACGTTACTCCATGTCACACGCAAGCTTTGGATCGATACCTCTACTTGACTATATGACAGGCCCTATGATATAAAGCACAAACATTTAACCTCATGGGTATTATTAAGTGCAATCTAATGTAAAAGGACAGGAAAAAGGTTCTATTATTTAGGCATAAACACATCAGTACAGCATGGACTGACACAGTTTAGCATAGATTTGATTCATGGATCTACTATTAATTTAGTGGTAGCAGAATTGTCTCTTTAATGTGTTTTCTGTAAGACATAGTCTTCTGACCTGAAAACCTGTAGAAAAAAACTGCATCTGAAACATTCTCAAGTAGTCACACGATAATACAGTGATGATTGAGAGATGCATAATATTGATAATGGAACTAGCATTTACACTATGAAACCACATTAACTTATTTCAACTGTAATTTGAAGTGATTATATAATTATATTCAATTATTGTAGAGTTAGAGGAGAAATTGGATGTTATTCATCACACACATCAGTCAAATTAAAGAGATAATTATATACCAGATGTACACAATATATAAGGTCATATAATATTGGCATATAGCGCAATCGGATATTACTGCCAATAATGTATTACGACGGAAAACTTGTAGTTTTCATGAATGATTTTAGAAATTGCATGTGTAAATACTAAAAGTTGCTTTATAACTAGATTATATCCATATTTCATTGCACCTAAATAAAATCATCAGTAGCACTTCACGGCTACTTTATTATTGGTATCCTAAATATATCACATTCTACTAGGGATCTTTAATGAACACAGGACCTCATTTTTTGTTTCAGCCAAATAATTACACTTTCTTTTGTCAAACCTCTTACTAAAGATTGCATCTGGGACGTGGGCTTAACAGGTTGACTGCCAGTTAAGAGCAAGCTTATACAAACTTTACTAATATTCTGTTTGCTAAACCATGTATTTAAAAACCTGGTAATTTTTATGACACACACAACCTCAAACCCAAGCTGTCACTTATTGTCAGTAGAAAGTGTCTATTCTAGACAAATAGTTTCACTAATACTAAGTAAATGGTAACGGTAAATGTTAAACCTTTTCTATATTTATTAAAGTAGCAATAGTATTATTAAATTATAAAAACAACCCACTTCCAGTCTTGCATGGAGTTAAAACATGACCATCTACAACAGTTAGCAACCATATCAAGATATTTGTAATGTTTCAGGGATTCTTCCACTCATTACTACTAATTTAGTAAGAAGTTAATCCGTTGCAGTCTTGGAATTATATTTGAGAATATTGCAAGTACCAGAGCTTAAACAGTTAAAATTTCTAAATTGATATGCATATTCAACATTTAGTATAATAAAAGACTTAATGATAAATTATTCCAAATAACAGAGACACATTCTTATTTTAAGCCAGCTGAAACCTCACCCATTGGTACATGCATTAATACAAGTGGTTGCCATGCAAGCTAAACCCACATTTGCAAGAGATGGACAGAGAAAGAGCTAAAAAAAATAATGTGATTTTTTGTACAATCACTTCAATCAGGGGCCATAATCCAGAAAGATAAGGTCTGATATGCGTGAAAATCAGATGAAAATTGTGATCTCTAGAGTGTCCACAAGCTAAAAACATGATTTTTTTCGAACAATCAGGAGCCATAATTCATGAAGTTATGCTCCGATACATGCCAATATCAAAAGAAACCGAGATCTTTGGAAGATAGACCTATATTTCAAGTTTCGTCAAAATCGGATAAAAATTATGACCTGTAGAGTGTCCACAAACAAATTGTGGACGGAGGGACAGACAAACAAACAGGTGAGACGGCATAATACATCCACATGAAAATGTGGGCATATAAAAATACTGTACTCTGACTTTGAAGAGAACCGAAGATAAACTCAATCATACTTACTGATTTGCCGTTTTATCATCAACACAATGACGATTATTACGTAGATTAGCACAACTACCCCATACATATGGTGATTCTGATATGGATATAAAAGCATAGGTTCCAAACTGTGCTACTATAGGAGCAAAATGTGATATACGAATTAACAGTTCAATCAATGCTGCTAGCCCAACTCCTGTAAATAATAATTCAAATTTGTTAGGCTTCTAGTTCTTCCTCGATATAATAAACAAAACATGAACAGGTAATCTCAAGCTGTTCTAGTTATTGGAAACCGTTGAATATTAATTGGCTTTTTGGTCTCATGAACAGAAACACAGTGTACACCCTGGATGATACTATTGCCTCTAGAGTGTCCATAAAATTTTAAAAATATATATGAAGGGCAATAACTCTTGACAGTAACAGACTTCTTCATCTCATGACCATAAATGCATTAATTCCAAGTCAATTGATATGATAATGTCAGCCTCTATCTAGAGCTTCCAAAATATTTTCCAAGTGATAAAGGGCAATAACTCTTACAATATTTATTGCAAATCATTAAAATTACGATAACTGTAGTTGCTTCTTTTGTCGCATGAACATAAACACTAAATATATTTGAAGTCAATCAAATAACAACTTAAGCCCCTAGAGTGCCAATAAAAATGTAACCATTCATTGTGAAAGGCTTTGCAGACATCATAAGAATAATCTACCCATTACAACATGCCTAATACTTTCATTTAATAGCATTTAATCATATATATTGTAAGCAATTACGATGTGCACCGTTTCATACCTGACCTATTTTGAATGTGGTATAATCTACAAGTCCATCTATTTGTGTTATTCATGCATATAGTATGGCAACATTAAAGTAAACTTGGGGAACAAATCTAATGAAGGATTATTGAGGAATTCATGTGAAGGATTTGTTCGTCACATAAGTAGAATACATCAATACCAATCTATTCTGTTGCTTTCCACAAAAGGAAAGGAAATATCAAATTTATAAGAAAAGGAATTAATTCTGAAATTCTTTCTCCCTATATAAAAAAAGCTGTCTACCCCTATGCTATTTCTTCAGCCTGATAGAATGATATTTTTATGATATGAGATCAATCATTCAACTAACAGTTTGATCCTATCAAAAGCCCTTCAATAACACGCATCACTTACCTTTCCATATTGGGAAGTATAGACCAAAGACTCCCACAATGCCTTTCTGCAGATAGCCTCCTAATTTCAACTGTATAAATAAAGCTGGCACACAGACAAAGATGAGTAGAAGAAACTGAGAGATGACTTCAAGACCTCCTAAAGTAACAAAAATAAAAAGAAGGGAAATGTTGATATTTCACTAATTTGAATAAAGAGAGGGGTTTAATGACCTTTTCATAGAAACCATAAATGATGACAATTTGTATTTATTGTAATCAATTTCTAATAAATTCTTAAAGCTAAATCCTTGAGCGTGATTTGAGGAATCAATGGTAAAATGTTGAATTTCTAATTAGTCTAATATGAATATCAGTTTAAAATGTTTCAATTTCATTCAGTATTTACAATCATATGATGAACTGAAATTTCATCGATCTATGCTGCTTCCTATGTAAATGGTACACTGATATCTTTATGTTTCGTGAAATCTAATTGATGGGCGACCTTTTAATCCAGTTGAATTCAAGCTAGGAGTTATCTTGATTTTGGTTTTGTTTTCATAATTAAATGATAAATAATAAAAAAGCAGTGAGAAATTTTATATTTTCTGAAAAATGCATGAACATTTACTTTCATTTAAGTAGGTTCTGAAAAACACATGCGCTTTCCTGTTCTGTTATACTATATAGTACCACTTGAAAATGTGAAGCATTTGACCTCATTGACAAACTTAAGCATAAGTCTACACCTGTAATATGTATCTATCATTCTAAAAATGACCAACCAACAACCATGTGCGCTGAAGATTTTATTCTCCCAGGTGCATCCATCCAAGCAACCTCACATGTCGTGTATATCTATATACCATCCAGATTACCCATACACTAGAATCACTTGAAGAGCAAACCTAATCATTTGGACAATGTAGTCTTGATCATCTGGACACTATATTACATCTTTTTTTTTTTTCACAAGATGAAATACACATAAATTACAATAGATCACATTTCATAAATTGATATACAATATATTAATATTTAGTGTCTGTATATTGTCTGGGTTTAACAACTAATCTACCACTAGAAGTTTGTACACCTTGTTCTCCAATTATAGTTTGTTTATCTGTTACTGGTGATACAACTGATAATGGGTTTGCTAATAACAGTTTAGTTTTAACTTCATTTGAACCAGTATTAACAGATGAAACTGAACCCTTAGTTTTCAGAATATGTTGTTGAGCTCTACGATATATCTGACCATCATCATTTTTAACTATAAATGAACACGGTTTTGGTGATTCTTTAACCACAGTTGCTGATTCCCAACCAAATTTAGATCTTAACCCAACATTATCAGAAAGTTTTATTTGAGGTAATATCCTTGATTGTCTATCATAATGAACTTTTCGTTTATTTTTCAAATCGCTAAGTCTAACACAAACTATATCAGGTTTGATTAAATTTGGCATTAACAACGATTCACTAGTGGGTATCAACGTTTTAGTTCTTCTTCCCATAAGTCTTTGTACAGCAGAACCTAATTCATTGTCACATGGTGTATTACGTAGCAATAACAAAGCTAAATATGGATCTTGTCCCATTTGAAAAAGTATATTTCACAGTTTGGACACTTTTCTCCGCCAAACCATTTGACTGGAAATATAGAGGACTAGTTGTCACGTGTTTGAAATCGTATTTCTGTGAAAAGTCTTTAAACAGCAAAACTTGTATTTTTGGTCGGTTATCTGAATACAACACATGACGAGCAAACTGTGATTTACAATGGAGTATTACTTGTATCGAGTTTAAACATTCTACCTCAATTAAAAGCAGAGTTGTTATGTTCCAAAGTTTTGACCAATATAAATTGTTTATCGTTTCTTAGCCTAAGCATAAAATTCACATCATCGAACTTAGTCAAGGTAATGATATAATGAATCTAGTTTCATCCTTCTCAATTATTTAACCAAAGTTATCATGACCAAAAGCATCAACCAATCAGATTGCTTATCTCTGCTTATCGTAAGCAGACAATGTTCATCATCGAACTCCATCAGATCGAGGCATTCACCTAATGAATGCCTACATCAAGTTTGAAAATTCTACCTTAATAGAAGGAGAGTTATTGTGTCCCAAAGTCTCAACCAATCAAATTACTTATCGCTCTGCTTACCCTCAGCAGAAAATGTTCATTATTGAACTTAGTTAAGGTACTGATGTGATAAAACTATACACCAAGTGTCCTCACTTTCACTTATTAGTAGAACTAAAGTTATCGTGTCTCAAAGCATCAACCAATCAAATTCCTTATCTCTGCCTTCCCTAAGCAGAAAAAGCTCATCTTTGACCTAATAAACACCTACACCAAGTTTGAACATTCTAGCTTAATCAGAAGGAGAGTTAATCGTGTCTATGTTCTTACTATCTGGTTTTAGACCAAAATAGTTAACAAATGTCCAATATATGAAATTTCACCTTGTTCAAATTTATATTTGTTTTTATTTAAGGCACACATTACAAGCTCTTTGTAAAACCTGTTTAAGTCTAGAATTATGTTCCTCATTAGTTTCACCCCAAACTAAAATATCATCAACTTTGACTTCAACTCCATCTATGTCTTCAAATATTCCAGACACAGTACATTGGAAAACTTTGGATGCCGAAACTATACCAAATGGTAGACGATTGAAGTGGTACCATCCAAAGGGTGTGTTGAACGTACATTTCTTAGAGGTTTCGCTAATAGAATTTGCCAGTAACCATGAGTCGCATCTAACTTCCAAAAAACAGCAGCGTGGGGCATTCGAAAACTATTTCTTCAGTTGTTCTCATAGGAAAATGTTCACGCTTAATGGCTTTGTTTAGATCTTTAGGATCAATACATAAACGAAGTATATTATTTGACTTAACAACCGTCATTAAGCTATTTACCCAAATGTTTTTTGCCCAAAAATCAATTTCTTGCAATCGCAGTTTATTGCCTCTTCGATACGTGCTAGGTATTAGTATCCTACGCATCCTGGCTAAAAATCTTATTTTTTAGAACACGGGAACAGTGCCTGCGAAGCTAGCCTAGTTGGAGGCGTGGCATTTTGGGGCGTATCTGTTAGGGGTAACCCACCGCACAAACTGTCTGGCAGTGACCATTCATGACTCCTGTGGTGGTACTGAACAACTCCAAAGCTGTTTTAGGTGGTACAGATTTCAACTAATCTAGCCTAGCTTTAGTCTAAATATTAGATAACTCTTGTCAGGGATACTCCACCACTACAAATGTCTGGCAATTACATAGCTCTGTCAGGGGTACCCCACCATTAGAAATGTCTGTCAGAGTGTTTTTGTAATACCTGAAGATGTACGGTACACTGCAGTAACATTTTCGTGTGGTACACTTTTGAGCTAATCTAGCCTAGTTGGGGATCATGGCATTTAGGGCGTGGAATACCACACCCACCACCAGAAACCCAGCAGACTTACATTCTGATGATACCAGATATACATACATTGATACCATATAGGAGAAAATTGGTACACTTTTCAGCTAGGTTGACCCCCTGGGCTCCCGGTCTATCACCATCATCTTTACCATACGAATGAACCTGTCGTTCCTGATGTCGGTTTTAATTCTTTTTTCAACAAACTTTAGCTCAATGATTAGCTTAACCACAAAACGAACATGTTGATCCAAATGCTGGACATTAGTTCTGTATGGAATGATTTCCACCACAACGATAACATCTGTAATATTGCTGATAATCACGTGCTGTATTTGAAATCTGTGATTTGTAAGTGTTATATTTCTCTTTGGTATCACAATTCCATTCAGGTCGAGACTTGTACTGGAACCGTTCATTCTATGTCGATTTTGATTGGTGATACGGCCTTGATTTATTTACCCATCTAGAAAATTCATGTTCGTCTGTACCATGTTCACTTCCCAATGATTTGGCTTGATTTAAACTAAGTTCATTAGCCCTACAGATATCAACAGCCCTTTCAAGGGTGAGATCAGATTCTCGTAATAATCTAGTTCTTAACTGATCACTAAGAATGCCACAAACAATCCTACTTGTGTATCTCTTATAAGGCTATCACGAACTTCCCCAAACTCACAGTTTTTGGCTTTTTTACGTAAATCAGAAAGATACTGATCGAATGATTCACCTACTTTTTGGGAGCAAATGTTGAAAATATGTCTCTCAAACGTCACATTTCGTTTCGGTGAACAATATTCTTCAAATTTGTCAAGTACGAGTATTAATCTTAGTCTATTTTCAGGAGTTTCAAATACAAAACTGTTATAGATTTCTAAGGTCTCTTCACCTATAGTATGAAATAATGTTGAGGTTTTTATCTATTTGGTCTACGATACAGCTTGCATCAAGGTAAATTTCAAATCGCTATTTCTAACGTCTCCAATTTTCCAATAAATTGCTGTCTAAATTGAGAGAACCCGGAGCCTTCAGCTGATCCATCATTAAACTTCTAGCACCACTTCTGACACCATGTACTACTATCTATGTATTTATCATTCTAAAAATGACCAACCATGTGCGTTGAAGATTTTATTCTCACAAGTGCATCCACCTGTGCAACCTCAGGTGTCGTGTATATCTATATACCATCCAGATTAGCCAGACTCTAGAATCACTTGATGAGCAAACGTGATCATGTGGACAATGTAGTTCTGATCATCTGGACACTATATTACAATGCCCTATACTTTTTAAATCTAAATCTTCTATTTACATGTATATTGGGCTGAGGATTTGGGGTTTATACCAATTCTTTATTATGAAAAATTCTATAATTTTCAACTTGATAGTATGTTCCCCCAATGTTAATTTGGTCATTCATTGCAATCTCAAAACATACATTTATAAAATATTTCTATGAGCCTGAAATAAAATAAAACCAAGTACGAACAATCCAAACCATTAGACAAAATTTGATGTCCTAAAAAAATGTGAAGTTAAGACTTTTTAAATTGGGAGATTTCAATTTATCAGCTATTGAGCAATAAACAACTCTGAAAAACCCACAAGTAAACTTGGTGTTATTTCTGGTTGTTTAAATTCTTAAAACTGTTATGTTATGTAAAATTACAAAACCAGAAAGAAAGGCGAATCTTTAATGAATAAAATAAATAAGCGAATACACGACATGTGGGCTGTTTAAATGATGTGTAAAATAGACGCCTTCTCATATAGATGCGACTACGCAAACAAGTCATCATCTATTTATCATATGCGTGATGTGTTTATAATCTATTTAAAAATATATGTATGTTCAATGTTTGGAAGTGTCTGGACTCTGGTGCCCATGGTGTTGTTGTCAGTATGAAGATTCCCAAAAAGGGTTCGAGTTAGGGTTGGCCATGATTCCACTATGCTAAGATGTATGTGCACAACAGATGATGACTTTCGTGTGTAGACACAAGTTTCTCAATTCATCATCGCAGTTTTTCTTTGCAATGTTTTATATTGTTGTGAAATAAAACTGGAATATAAAACAAGCGGGAAATCAACAAATCTTGATCATCAAGTGGCATTTTTCCAATTTCACAGCATTTGCTGTTCAAACTTTTTCGTTCCATCAACTATGTGCAGAACTTGTAGCATACTACAATGTGGTTGTACTATAGATTTACATATACATTGTATGTAATATGCACAGTCAACAGGTTGCAATTAAATAAGCAAATTATATCTTGAGTGAACAATAATTGACAGCTTGCATGACAATATCCATTTACCTAGTAAGAAGAATCCTATGATGGTGAATAGTGTAATTATACCAACAGAGAAAATAATAATTTCACACAGAACACTGCAAAATTATTTAGTTTAACTTACCAGTAGGCAGACGCATAAACGACACATAACAAGTAAACACACTTATGAACATAAACTGGAACAAATTCCACTGGGGTATTCCATCCGACATTTTGAACAATATACAAGCAGTTGTCTGTGTGTCAAATTGGTTTCTGGTGTTTGGTTGCCGTTGCTATCACATTTCTCAATCTGTGAATCTAAACAAATTCATTTCTCTGGAAAAGAGTAAAAAAAAAAGTCACAAATATTTTAAAAGGCAATAGAAGATTGTATCTTCAAGTTACAAGCTACATGTAGGAAATCCAATAAGACACCTGACCTCCAGGGTCAATACTGTTATTTTCTCTGATTGGTGAGAGTAAATTTGCTAAAGTCGGCTTACACTGATATATAAAATGTTTCTAAAAAGTAACCTTTTACTAATACTTATGTTTATATCCTCTGTACACAACCTTTTGGTGGGGGCAGCATGTTGAATTACTGGTACTTTAGAAGTAATTATTAAATATTGAATAAATGAAGAATACAAGATTATTCGATAAAACAGCAATTCGATACATGTACGTTTGTTCATCTCACTACTATGAACAAGACACTCTTCGCCTCGTCAGTCATGCAGAGCAGAGGGTCTAGCAACGAACACAATCTAGTCATTCGGGTGGTACAAAAAATCGAGGTCCCGTGTAGTCATTGCTATGCGTGCAAAAGAACTCTTGACAGTTGAAATTCAAAATAATAGATTTGAAGGCTATCCAGGCATAATTTCAATCATAGCACACTGCATGGCATATGCTTGACTTCCTTTGTCTGGATGGAGCAAAAAAGGTAGGATGTTAAACCCCCATTACGTTTCATTTATTATTCAAAGAAATGTTATATTTCTGCGAAAATGCCCTTTCATCCTTGTGTGGAACTGTGGATATAGTTTAACCAATTCCAATTAAACTCACTAAATTGGGTCTACAAAATAGATACATATAATATATTCTTTAAAATCGTGTTAAGATTTAGAGACTGAATCATACAGTATATGCCAACTTTATACCACATTACACAAATAAAACAAACTTGATTGAAAACAGATAAACTTAATTTGCAAAAAAAAAGAAAAGATTTTGATGTGTCTGGAAAGTAAATAAAACAATACCTACATTCGTATTTGGAACATCTATAGCTTAACATGTAAAGTATACATAGGATGTAGATAGTATATACATCATGTGATATACAAGCCAATATGTAGTATGTAATGGTAGATAAATTTGTCTATAGTGTAATTAATTCCTCACCTATCACATTCCTATATCTCTTTAATTGGAACATACCAACTCCCCAAAAAGCTTTAATTAAGGGAACATTTCTAGAAGTGTCAAATGTCAGGAGATTGACCTATATAGATGTTAGATATATCAAACCAGCTAGGTCATCAATTGTAATGTATTGTTTTTATTTTTTTCTATCAAGTCGAGAAGGTATAGGTATTGTTTTTTTTTATGATATGCCCTGCAGACATAATAACTTATTTATTACACTTACCACTACACTAGCTAACTGTATCAAAACATTATATTGTGGATAACTGGTCAATAACTATACTATTTAATATCAAGACATAGAGAAATGTATATAACATCCAGGTTATTTTGGGACTAACATAGTATATTTCTACTTCAATTATTAACTTAGTTAGACACAGGTGTCTTTAACATAAGGAGAGACATCAGAATAACTTGAGCAAACCCACGTTAGGCAGGCAACCCTAGATTTTGTAAAAATGAGTTTTTGGATACAATTATTTTTTTCAAATGTTAGTGAATTCTAGAGATTAATTTAACACTGTTTTGCAAGAAGATTGTCATTTTCAAGAATACCCCAGACCATCAGTTAAATATCAGTGATAAAAACTCATAAATTGCAAAACACAACCTAGATAGAAGAAAAAATAATTAGATATTGTAAAAGGTTTTAGTTGCGAATCAAATGTCATGACGGCAATAGGATAATAATTTTCTTCATTCGACTAGGGTATTCTTTTATCTATAAATCAACAAAGCATTATACAGCAATGAAGTCCTCCGGCTATTAAAATTAGAGCACTGAGTTGAATCAATATTTTTAACATTATAGACAGGTTTAACCGAGACCATCATCTTTGCTGTATTCTACAATTTAAATGTAACGTTCAAAGCTATAAATAGCTTGTGGCAAAAATTATCGTGATCCGGATAGGAAGAAGTAAGTTTAACTAGGCAACAATACACCTTTGGGTTGGAAGGGCCATAATTCAGTGAAAAAAAATAAATAAATAAAATAATCAGATCCCCTGAAATAGGAACTTGATCTCTAACTATACAACGGTGTACCAAATTTTAATCAAATATCTCAAACATCAATAAATAAACCAGGGGCTGCCAGGAAAGATACGCCCACATTTTGCAAGAGATGGATAGAGAACAAGCTAAAAACAATAAACATGATTTTTTTGTACAATCATGGGCCATAATCCAAGAAATTATGGTCTGAAATGGACAAATATCGAAAGAACTGAGATCTTTGGGATATAAAGATATATTTTAAGTTTCATCACAATCAGACAAAAATTGTGACCTCTAGAGTGTCCACAACTTTCGTATTACATACCTGTACACAATTTGCGTACAAGGAACGGCCATTTTGTCATACAATTTCGGTTTGATTTTCACGAAATTCGATCTCAAGTAACATTTCGGTGTATTGGTGGTATATTCAAACATTTTTTTAAATTAGATAATAATTGTGACCCCTAGAGGGACTTAAAGCTAAAAACGTGATTTTACATACAATCAGGGGCCATAATTCAGGAAGTTACAGTCCGATATGCGCAAATATTAAAAGGAACCAAGATCTTTGGGTTATAAACATGCATTTCACGTTTCATCAACATCAGATGAAAATTGTGACCTCTAGAGTGTCCACAAGCTAAAAATGTGATTTTTCGTACAATCAGGGGCCATAATCCATGAAGTTATGGTCTGATACATGCCAATATCGACAGCAGGCGAGATCTTTGAGAGATAAACCTATATTTCAAGTTTCGTCAAAATCAGATAAAAAAGTTGACCTGTAGAATGTCCACAAACAAATTGCGGACGGTCGGACAGGGGTGACGACAATATATGAAAATGCGGATATATAAAAACTGTGGCTAAAAAAGCAATTTTTTGTAAAATCAGGGGCCATAATCCAGATAGTTACGGTCCGATGTGTGTGAATATCGAAAGGAACTGAGATCTTTGGGTTGTATTACTAGTTGTAAACATACATTTTAAGTTTCATGAAAATCAGAGTGTCCACAAGTTAAAATGTGATTTTTTTGTACAATCAGGATCCATAAAATACATCAAATTGCGGTCTGATATATGCCAATATCGAAAGGAACCAATATCTTGATGCGATAAACCTATTGGCGATATTTCAAGTTTCGTCTGAATGGGATGGGATCCAAGTCATAATATACTTGATAGGGTAAAAGTAGGAGTAGTAATAAGTGATGATATATATTAAGGGTAACATTATGATATCACTGGTTACTATGACTAACCTTAATTGTACTTGAAATGTCATTTGTGTAGTAGTATTCCCCGAGGAAGTAAGTTTTTACACTTACGAAACGTTAGAGGCTATAAAAGATGATTTTGTTTTAAATGTTGGCGTATAAAAATATACACAAATGATAATAATTCAAACCTTTTATACCTCAAGATCATAAAAGATAATCTTCCAGTATGAGGGAACAATGGCACATAATACAATGCTACAGTGTACATGCAGATTACAATTTGTAACTGGATCATTTATTGAATAATTAATAACACACAACAAAAGATAATGCAATCTAATTGTATAAAGGAATGCAGTAGAGTGACACAACATGTTTCTGTAAACCTGTTGAACAAAGAAATCTATTTAAAGAAGCATTATGTACATGTACATGTACATGTACAAAGTCCAGCTTAGGCATGGGACAAATGGGCCCAGGGAGCTGTGGTTTAGGCCCCCTCCCCCCCGCAATACATGGCAAAAAGAAAAAAAAGATAGTTGCCAGGCAACAAAACATGCGCCCACAGCAACTTAATCGTTCGGGTGGTCTATAAAAGTTGTCGCATATTTTTACTTTTGTCGGTAATGAAACACTTATAGTACACTAAAATCTGATTAAGAGTAACAACACATTAAACATACATTATAATTTATACAAGAGCTAAATCTGCCTATTGCAGGTCTTTCTTTGGGCCTGAAATGTTATCTAAATTATTAATGAGACATAATTTACTTATCCAGAGCATAATCAACTCTTGATGTGATCGCTAGCCTGCGATATTTACTGGATTAGAATCCGATTTGCTGCTCAACTTTCATTCATGATTTAATCATGAAATGAATAATTGAGAATATGTTTTTTATCGTACCAACTTTAGTAAGGATGATTGAGGCTAGGCCGAAAATTCAATCACTAAATTCTTGGTTCAGAGTGGATCAACTTGACTGAAATTTTCAGCAAATTCCCTTTACATTATCTAGTTTTTAACAAACATTTACATAGTAAGAACTGCCAGCTCGTTATCTAATCTCCCATACGTATCTTTAAATAATTATCATTAATTAACAGAATTTGTTTGGCCCATGTTAAAGTTTAGTATTCAAAACATTTAATAACATGGATTTAGCTGTACAAGTTATCAAAGATAGGTTGCCAGTTAACGAAACATTTTAGGATGGTATTATGTAGTTCTGGCTGGTGTTATTGTGACCTCTAGAGGGACCACAAGCTAAAAACGCGATTTTTCGTACAATCAGGGGCCATAATTCAGGAAGTTAGAATTCGATATGTACGAAAAGATATTTGGGTTATAAACATGCATTTCATGTTTCATCAAAATCAGATGAAAATTGTGACCTCTAGGGGGTCCACAACCCCGATACACAATATTTTGACACTAGTTGCGAACGAGGGGCGACCATTTTGTCCGTCAGTTTCGGTCTGATTTTTACGAAATTCGAACTCAACCATCATTAGGGTGTAACGATGAAATATTCATAGGTTTTTTAAATCGGATAAAAATTGTGACCTCTGTGGGTCCACAAGCTAAAAACATGATTTAAACATGATTTTTCATCCAATCAGGGGCCATAATTCAGGAAGTTATAGTCCGATATGCGTGAATCTCGAAAGGAA